ACAGACATCAAAAGTATCATAACAAAACATAAAATATATGAATATTTTATGTTTTGTTTAATAAACTTAAATAACATAAAAGTAGATAGAACACTCAGTTTTGTCATTTTGTCATATGATACAAAATTTGCTTGAACTTTTTTTTTAAAATATCTGCAATTCAGATGAATTTAATTTGAATCTTATATCTTGCATTCTTTTTGTGGGATGTAAGATGAATTGTGTGCTGGACTATTTGAATCTTATATCTTGCATCCCCTTTGTGGGATGTAAGATGAATTGTGTGCTGGACTATTTGAATCTTATATCTTGCATCCCCTTTGTGGGATGTAAGAGGAATTGTGTGCTGGACTATTTGAATCTTATATCTTGCATCCCCTTTGTGGGATGTAAGATGAATTGTGTGCTGGACTATTTGAATCTTATATCTTGCATCCCCTTTGTAGGATGTAAGATGAATTGTGTGCTGGACTATTTGAATCTTATATCTTGCATCCCCTTTCTGGGATGTAAGATGAATTGTGTGCTGGACTATTTGAATCTTATATCTTGCATCCCCTTTGTGGGATGTAAGATGAATTGTGTGCTGGACTATTTGAATCTTATATCTTGCATCCCCTTTGTGGGATGTAAGATGAATTGTGTGCTGGACTTTTTTAGAACTCCAACATTCTTACAATACAAGTTTATTTGTATCTTAAAGTAAAAAAAAAATTTTAAGATTTTTATTAACATTTATTTGAGCGTAATGTAAACCTGAATTAAAATAAACCTGATTGAAAAGTAAAATAAACCTGATTGAAATGTCAAACTTTATACTGTAATATGTAAACCTGATTGAAATGTCGAATTTTATACTGTAATATGTAAACTAGATTGAAATATCAAACTTTATACTTTTAAAATATTAAATGAATTTAAAAGTTTTTTATTTATAATTTGAGAAAATCGATATCTTAGTAATATTTATCAATACAATAACTTCTTTATAAAATGATGTTTTCATTTTAATAGCAAGTTTTTCTGTAAACATTTTATGTTCATATATTCTTATCATATAGAATAAATAAAGAAAAGGGAGGGTTACTTATTGCTATCTCATAGGAGGGTTACTTATTGCTATCTTATAGAATAAAAGGAGAAATGATATGTAGAGCCACTTATTACTTCTTATTACTTATTACATTATAGAATAAAAAAAAAATGGGGTAGAGGGCTACTTATTATTACCTATTAGAATAAAAGGAGAAATGGAGTAGAGAGCCACTTATTGCTATCTTATAGAATAAAAGGAGAAATGGAGTGGAGAGCCACTTATTGCTATACAATAGAACAAAAAGAGAAATAGGATGGAGGGTCACTTATTGCTATTATATAGAGTAAAATTAGAGGTAAAGGACCACCTATTATTTTTAACCTATATTAAAATGAAGGTATCAAAGTATCCTTTATTAGATAAAAAAAATTATGCTGTATTTATATTTTTACCACCTCACTGTTGTTTATGTTTGCTCTTTATATGTTTACTAGGACTTTTTGAGCCAAATGGTTTATGTGCAGCTGGGTATTTCTGTAGAAGAAATGCAAAGAGTGGCATACCAAATCAAGGAGAAGATGCAAATATATGCCCAATTGGATATTATTGTCAAAATGGTACAGCTGAACCTGTGAAATGTCCAAAAGGAACATTCAGTGTTCGAACAGGTAATAATTTTGAAACTTTTAGATTTGTCATTTTATAAAATAATTCATAATATATAAAAGTAAGAAATTTTGATTTTATATTGTAAAAAGATAATAAAACTAATTGCGGTTTTACAATTACCTTGTTCATTATTTAATTTTTAGGTTTAACTTCACAAGAAGAATGTTCGAATTGTACACCAAGTTTTTATTGTGGTAATGCTGGTTTACAAAATGTATCAGGACTTTGTAGTGAAGGCTATTATTGCCCAGAAGGATCCCAAAGTCAAGAGCAGTTTCCATGTCCAGTAGGAAGTTATTGTCCATACGGATCTTCCTCACCTATTCTTTGCAATGCAGGAACATTTCAATCCAATATTCGAAGGACACAAGTTAGCGATTGCTTGAGTTGCACTGAAGGTTTGAGTTTTTTTTTTAAATGATATAAAATGAGCATTAAGTAATGAGTACAACTTTTTCAAAAAGTAGTTACAACTTTTTCGATGGGTGGGTATAACTCCTACAAAGGTTGGGTATAACATCTTCAAAGGGTGTGTACAGCTTCTACAAAGGTTGAGTACAAAGGTTTTAAAAGGGTGGGCTCAAGTTATTATCAAATTTCTATACAAATTTGAGTTAATCATTTTGTATAATTGTAGAAATAATAAGAAATATTTTCAGTAAAGTTCATGCAAAAAAATACAAATTACTTAGGTGTAAAGTTTATGCATAAAATACAACTTAGGTGTACATCCTACCAGATCATACTGGTACAAATAGCACTGTGCAATACAACTTCTTAAAGCTAACTTCTTATAAGATGTTAGGTGACTTAATATATATTAATTCTGCTGATTTCAAATATGTACTCAGAATATTTCTAGCTCCAGATTTTGAGTTATATTACATTACAACTTTTGCAATCCATTATATTTTCGCCATGCAATAAATCATCATGTTGCCATTTGTCATTCAACTATTTTTATAGCTGTAGTTGCAGTTTTCCACCTTAGATGGCTTTAAATTTGTTCTCACAGCACCATTTGGTTGATAATAATATGAGAACCTGCTGACTTCATTGGCTAATGATGTAGGGCTATGTATAGTAGCTGATATCAACAGCAATTTTTTTATTTTTTATTTTTTTCAGTTATGCTAATTCACCTCCCCAAACCGAAGAGATTTTTATTGTAGTTACAACTCTCTCACAACTCTATAACTCTAATACACAAACCTTGACGAACAAGGCAGCTGCGCAGAGAAACAAGTTGAGCGCGGTACTAATTGGCGTGGTGGGATCAAACTCTGAACTTCTTGCTCATGAGGCAAGCACTCTACTACTACACCACTACCACAGATGGAAGGCAGTTTGGTATTTAATAAGTTTTCATTATGTGTTTTGTCAGTGAGGTGGGAAGTTTATAAATGAATTATAAAACTGGCTCTGACTACAAATTTATTACACATGTTCAACTAAATTAAAATTGTAAATTTGTTTGAAAAGATGGCTGAGAGGCACAGATGTGTAAACTATCCTGGTAGTTTTTGTTATGTTTGTGGATTATTCATTACGAAGTCACAGAGAAAAGAATATCACTCCTTGGGTTAAATTTGCTTATAATGCTTATTTTAGCATGAAGCTTAAAGACCAAGACAAAAAATGGGCACTACACATCATTTGTATGTCACGCTACTCAAATTTGACATAGTGGCTAAAGAGCAAAAGAAATTTGTCATTTTGAATTCCTATGGTTTGGAGAGAACCAAAAGACTATAGCACAGATTGCTACTTTTGCATGACAAAGGCAGTAGGATTTTCTGGTAAGAACAAGGAGAAAATTAAATATCCTAATGCACCTTCTGCAATTATGCATGTGTCATCACAACGACATCTTGCTGATTCCTGTGCCTCATAGTGACCATGAAGTTGTCAAAAGCAATGAATCAGTGTTTATTCCTTCCTCCCATAAAAGTGATAACAGTTTTGATGCACTTGAAAATGGTAAATCTCATCTCATTGAACAAACTGAATTCAATCATTTGTTATGAGATCTGAATGTATCAAAAGATAAAGCAGAGCTACTTGTATTTTGTCTTCAACGGTGGAAATTTCTTGTTAAAGGACGAAAAGGTAGCTGATAACAGAAATCTTTCAAATTTTTTGAAGAGCAGGACAAGTGCTCTTACTGCAAAGATATAGAAGGTCTTATGAATGAGCTTGACTGTCATCACAAATGTAATATTTGTGCTGACTTTCGGACTAGTGATGGGCATGCAAAGTTGTTACACATATTACTGCTGTTTCCTGTGCTTTTGGGACAGTTGTGCCTTTGAGCAGCGTTATTCACAGAAGCAGTGGTAAGTGAGATCTGCATATGTCCCAGGAAAACACAATGTGAAGGACAGTTTGCTAGCACAGCCAGACTAAATTTACCTCCCACCTCCTCGCATTAAATTATGATTGATGAAGAGCTTTGTAAAAATTTTTAATGGAAACTCATATGCCTTTCAGTTACTCAAAGATACATTTTCAAGGATTAGTAAATAGAATAAACTCATCGATTAAGTATTTATAGGGCGTCTAATTAGACATGTTATAATGAATGACTTCATCATCAAAGCTGACTAATATGCAACAGACTAAAGACTGGCAAGTATTTGTTAAAATTTGGATTACCAAGTTTACTTAAAGGCGAAGTTGACTTCGGCTTTGGTGTTGCAGTTGAAATAGAAATTCAACTTTCAGTTAAATTTGGTAACAATTTCAAAATTTCATTTAACTTTCAGTTAAATTTAAAAGCTATTAAGTTTTTTTCAATATGTAAAGAAGAAGAGTTATATTATATTATATGTTTTATGTATATCAACCTGTTTCTATTGGTTACAACCCTCTTTCAACTTTTTAACTCCGAAAAGTGTTTTGGAGTTAAAGAGTTGAGAGGGTTGTAACCATTATAAGAAGTAGCTTCCTTGCCTAAAGTGGCCCACTCAGCCTTGAGAACATGAATTCATTAAAAAAAAAAAAAATCATGTTGGAAATAAATTTGTTATATAGAGTCAAATTCGAAAAATCTTTTTTAGGCACAAGTCTATTCATCACTTATTAAACCTTATTTATCACTTTTAAAAAATCCTAAAGGTAAAAAACAGGTGAATATTTAACCTAAAATTCTTGACAATGTTTTTCCTTTATAAAATTCAAGAACTAGTCACCATTTTTCTGCAAGAAAACATCAAGACAGTGACTAGCTAATTCACTGACTGAAAGAAACATTAACTTTCTGAGTAAAACTTTTTCATTTAAACATTACATAGAAAGACTAAATTTTAAGACAGGATTAACTTCACTTCTGGTTGTGCTAGAGAGATTTCAAAGGTAGCCCTATAATGAGAGCATTACATGTAATATTTAATTACATGTAATGCTCTCATTACAGGTAAATAATTTTTTTGTTATTAACAGTTTTTAGGTAGTTATTTAGGTAAAGACTTACAGGCAAAGAATTAATGGAAGCAGCATTTGCTCTAAAAAGATTTTGTGATCATTGCTCTTAGAGTTTATTAGGTTTCTCCCTTAATAGTAGATATCTTCAATAAACTTGTGTTATTTAGAAAAGATAGAAGTAAACTTAAGAAGAAAAGAGGGTGAAAAAGTTTAGAAGAAAAGAGGGTGAAAATATTTAGATAATGAGGAAGTCCTGGAAAAACTTACTAGTCAGAATGTAAATAGTTTTAATTAATTCATAAATACTAAAAATCTTTTCTTAGAATTTTTGAGACAATAATAATTGAGACATTCTAGGGGTTTAAAATACTCTAACAGGTTCAATGTACAAATTTAACAGGTTCAGTGAAAAATTTTCTGTGTTTTCAGTGCTGGTTTAAATTATGAAGCCTGATTTATGTAACAAGGGATTTTAGAAATAAATTTTTAGAATAAGTATATGATTAAAAAATGATTAATAAAAACATTGTCTGAAAAATTTTTCAACAAATTGAAAAACTAAGTTCAAAAAGTCGTATAAAACATGATAAATCATATATATATGTATATATATGTATATATTTATATAAATATTTATATATATATATATATATATATATATATATATATATATATATATATATATATATATATATATATATATATATGTGTGTGTGTGTGTGTATACATATATACATATGTATGTATATTTATATAAATGCATATAAATAGTTTATATATTATATATAGGTTACTACTGCGAAACTCAGGGTTTAGGAAACATCACTGGTTTGTGTAATTCTGGTGCATATTGTCCAACTGGTAGCATACATCCATCCCAAAAAGTATGTCCTGTGGGTTTTTATTGTCCAATTGGAAGTGCTAAGCCACAATCTTGTTTAAATGGATACTTTACAAATGCAACAGGCCAATCAAATTGTTCTCTATGTCCTTCAGGATACTATTGTTTTTCTTTAAGTTTTGAACTCTCTGGAAATACTACTAATGGTTATAAAATATGTCCTCCTGGATTTTACTGTCCAGCTGGTAGTACATCTACTGGAGTTAAATGTCCAGCAGGAACATACTCAAACCAAACTGGGTTGACTGATGTTTCACAATGCAAATCTTGTGATGGAGGCTATTATTGCTCTGGAAACATCTTGACACAACCAGATGGTGAATGCGAAGAAGGATTTTTTTGTTCAATAGGTATTATTTTTCTGTTCAATAAGTTTTTTTTTTACTTTTCAATAAGTTATTACTTTTTTGTTTTTTGGTTTTTAGTTAATTTTTTTTTTCATTAATTTAATTTTTATTTTTTAGTAAGTTGATTTTTTTTCAGTAAGTTAAGTTTTTTTCAGTAAGTTAATTTTTATTTTTCAGTAAGTTAATTTTTATTTTTCAGTAAGTTAATTTTTATTTTTCAGTAAGTTAATATTTATTTTTCAGTAAGTTAATTTTTATTTTTCAGTAAGTTAATTTTTATTTTTCAGTAAGTTATTTTTATTTTTCAGTAAGTTAATTTTTATTTTTTTAGTAAGTTAATAATTTTCAGCATTTTAAGTTCAATAACTATTAGAAGCAAAGCAAAGTTTGTTTTTTAAAATAATTTTAGTTTTTAATATTTCTGTATTTATCTTAAGGTTTTTTTTTGTTTTTTTTTTAGGTGTAAGTATATCTCGTCCTATTGTTGATTCTTACAATTTTACAAATGATACATGCCCTTATGGTTCAATTCTTGGAGTAAGTTTTAAAGGAATTGGAGATGTTTGTCCTAAAGGTTACTATTGCAGCCGTGGCTCGTGGAAGCCAACACCTTGTGAAGCTGGAACCTTTAACAACAACACAGGTCAAGCAAAATGTAAATCTTGCCCAGCAGGTTTTTTTTGTCCACAAGGTACAATATCTTATTTGAATAACTTTTGCATAAGTGGCTTTTACTGCCCAGAAAACACAACTAGAGCTAACCAATACCCATGTCCTGAAGGTACTTACAACAACATGACTACCCAAACATCTTTGACAGCTTGTATACCTTGTGCTAAAGGAAAGTATTGTGCTGGAGTGGGAAATACTTATCCTACAGGAGACTGCCAAGGAGGTTGGTATTGTTCTGAAAATTCTATTTCTGCTACACCTACCATAACTGGTGGTCAATGTAGAGCAGGATTTTACTGTCCTCCTGGAAGTTATGAACCCATTCCATGTGAGTTAGGAACTTACTGTGATAGAAATGGCTTAGATATATGGCAAGGACTTTGTTCTGCAGGATATTATTGTAATCAGATGTCAACAAGTCCAAATCCTAATGGTACCGAAGGAGGTTTATGTCCTTATGGTAAGTTTTGTACTGCAGGAACAAAAGCACCTGAAAATTGTCCTATTGGAACATTTTTAGATATTTTAGGAGGAAAAATTACTACTGATTGCAAAGTATGTACACCAGGTAAATTTTGTAATCAATCTGGATTGATTTTACCTTCTGGTGATTGTGAACCAGGTTACTATTGTCCATCTGGTTCAATTTCGAACAAGGAAGTACCATGTGATTATGGTTATCATTGCATTGGAGGAAAAGGTTTTCCAGAAATGTGTCTTTCAGGTCAATATCAAGATGAAAAAGCCCAAAGTATGTGTAAAATTTGTGTGGAAAGATATTTTTGTAATGCTACAAATGGACCAATTGTTAATTACACATCCTTTGTTTGTCCAGAAGGTTATTTTTGCCCTTCAGGAACTAAATTTGCAACAGAATACCCGTGCGGGTTAGGGACCTATAGTAATAGCCAAGGTAGGGCTAATCAAAGTGAATGTTTACCATGTTTAGGAGGATTTTACTGTGGAAGTTATGGCTTAATTAAGCCATTTACACCATGTAGTGCTGGATATTTTTGCAAATATGGTGCCAAAACAGCATCACCTAGAGAAGGAGAAAATGCTAATATTTGTCCATTAGGTTTCTATTGCCCAATACAAACTGTAAACCCAATAGGTTGTACATATGGCACAATTGGTTTGAAAGAAGGACTTATGTCACAGATTGAGTGCAGTAATTGTCCACCTGGTATGTTTTGTGATAAAGTTGGTCAATCAAACTATACTGGAAAATGTATGCAAGGTTTTTACTGCCCCAGTGGATCTAACAACTCCCAACAAATTGTATGCCCTGAAGGATTTTACTGTCCATCAGGAAGTGCTTTTCCCACTCCTTGTCCAATTGGAACTTATTCTAATAACCAATCCTTGTTTAGTTCAAGTCAATGTAATCCATGTGATGGAGGCAAGTATTGCAATAATAGTGGTTTATTAGCTCCTAGTGGTGCCTGTAGAGAAGGGTTTTTTTGCCCTGTGGGAAGCAGTTCAGATATTCAGTCAATTTGTCCTGTTGGGTTTTATTGCCCTCAAGGTATTTTTTTTTTTACACTATTACTATAATGATAAGCCTATTATATTTGTTAAACATTGTTTATACATTGCATATAAAATGCTATGCATATCCTTATATATCTATATATAAAAAATAAAAAGTAAATTTATTTTATATATATATGATTGTGTGTTTATATATATATATATATATATATTATATATATATATATATATATATATATATATATATATATATATATATATATATATATATATATATATATATATATATATATAAACACACAATCATATATATATATAAAATAAATTTACTTTTTATTTTTTATATATAGATATATAAGGATATGCATAGCATTTTATATGCAATGTATAATATATATAATATATATATATATATATATATATATATATATATATATATATATATATATATATATATATATATATATATATATATATATATTATATATATTTATATGCAATGTATAATATATATAATATATATATATATATATATATATATATATACATATATATATATATATATATATATATATATATATATATATATATATATATATATATATATATATATATATATATATATATATATATATATATGTATATATATATATATGTATATATGTATATGTATATATATATATATATATATATATATATATATATATATATATATATATATATATATATATAAATATATATATATATATATATATATATATATATATATATATATTAATATATTCTTTCCTTTTTTTTTTCGTTAATCAATCTAAATCTGCAGTAGTTTAATATTATGCAATCAGTTACTTAATTTACAAATAATGATTATATGAAGTTTTTTACTACTTTTTTTAACTATCAATAAAAATAAATTTAATTACTTAAGTAGTCGAAACTGCTCAGAAAATTTCTTGATGGCAGTACTAGTCATTTCATGTTAAAAAAATTTTTTGCTTTTTTCTTTACTTTCATATTTAAATGCAATAAGTTGTACAAAAACTACATAAAGTGGCTGATGCAAGGTAGGTACAAGTAGGTACAAGTAGGTACAAGGTAGGTACAAGTAGGTACAAAAACTACATAAAAAGTGATGCAGGGCATATGACTAAAAGTTTTATTGTCACAAAAAAAATATAAAATTTTTTATCTCTGATATTGCATTCTAAAATCTTTTGATATTGTATTATATAATTTAACAATTCTAAAAGCTGATGGTTTTTTTGTATGGAATTATCAGTGATATTTTATATGCAGTTAAATCTGCATTTATTGATTTACATATTTATATATATATACTTATACATATTTAGATATACATATTGTTATATTTTGATATAAGCGTATTTTGTATAAAAAGGAATGTATATTTTTAAAAAGGAAGTTCATCTCCTGCACAGTGTTTGTCTGGCTCATACACAAATGTGACTGGGCAATTTGTTTGTCAACCTTGTCCTGAGAGATATTATTGCACACCTGCTAATATTACCACTGATCCTTACTCTGTTTACAAGCCTTGTCCTAAAGGTTTCTTTTGCCCTGAATCAACTGGACTTAATTGGAGACCATGTCCTTTAGGAACTTATAGTAATATCACAGGATTGGCTAGTGCCATGGAATGTACATATTGTGATAGGGGAATGTATTGTTCACAATTAAATGCGACAGCACCAACCGGTTTTTGTGCTGGTGGGTTTTATTGTATACAAGGTGTTGATCGACCAAATCCAATTTATGATAATTCTACTTTGAATTGTTCACATATTGGTAATAAATTTAAATTTTTGTTTTAAGTTATTTTTAAAAATAAATTTCAAAATTTCAAAAAATAATTGATTGAAAAAATAGTTTTAATTTTTGTTTGTAAAACCTAAAATGATATATAGTTAAATAATACATATTTTATTATTAATTAAATGAATAATTTAATTATTATTAAAATTAAATAAATATTAATTTAATTAATTTTATTAGTTTAGCTTATTAATTTTTATTTTAGGCCTAGGTGGTATATGTCCTTCTGGTTCATACTGTTTACCAGGATCGGAACATCCAGTAATATGTCCAGAAGGGACCTATCAAGATGAAAAGGGTCGGATTGGTTGTAAACCGTGTCCAGAAGGGTATTACTGCTACTCAAATTCTACTGATTATTCAAAAAATAATTGTCCAAAAGGACATTACTGTCCGATGAATACAACAGAACCTTTTAAGTTTAAATGTCCACCTGGCACTTATAATCCAAAAGATACGCAAATAAATATAGCTGGATGTCTGTCTTGTGATGAGGGAAAATACTGTTTTGGGAGTGGAAATGAAGATGTATCTGGAAACTGTACTGCTGGATATTATTGCCCTGGCTCAGCAAGTAATTCAACTATGTATCTGTGCCCTTCAGGTTCTTTTTGTCCTGAAGGCTCCAAATCTCCAACATTATGTACAGGGGGATTTTTTTGTGCAACGACAGGTTTATCTATCCCAACTTATGAATGTTCTGCAGGCTATTTTTGTACAAAAGGTGCAATTAAGGCAAACCCTACTGATTCATCTGGTGGAGTTTGTCCAAAAGGTTTTTTTTGTCCTCAGAAATCATCAATTCCTATTGCATGCCCATTAGGAACTTTCCTTAATTCAACACAGAATGTGTGAGTATATTGTTCCTTCTTTTAATTTATATTGGCTTTTTTTTATAGTCATTTTAATGTTGTGATGAGAGTTTTATTTTTTTTATTTTTTGTTTTTTTTTTCAACTTTTCTTGTTGGTTCTGTAAAACCAAAATATGAAAGATTTTGGATGCTGCAAAAATAATGTTTTGCTTTTTTAGCTCACTCTATTTGCTACACTGATAATAAAAATTTTTTAATTTTTTTGAACAAAATGAACAGGTTTAAAATTATCCTAGTTTGATATCTTGAAACAATTTATTTTGAGTTTTGGTAATGTTCCACTGAATCGTCTTTGATTTTTTATTTCAATTTTTATATTAGCAAATATAGTGAATGAAAACTGTGAGTGTTAAACTTATATGCAGTATGAGTGACATATGCAGTATGAGTGAAGTGCACAATAGTAAAATATTTGATAATTATAGTGTGTTTTATATATGCAGTATATATACTCATATGCAGTATGAGTGACTTATATGCAGTATGAGTGACTTATATGCAGTATGAGTGAAGTACACAATAGTTAAGTATTTGAATTATGTGTAATAAAATAATTGTGTGTTTTATGCGAATAATTTAGGAAATTAAAAATTTATCATTAATATATTGCAGTATCCACTCAAGGAATTTTTCTCTTAAGTTTTTAAAAAAGTTTGTGATTGAACTTACTAGGTTTGCTCTTTAAAAATGCTTTTTTTCAAGTTGCCTGTTACCATTTTTTTACATATTTGCGTTTTTCTTATGTTATTTAGTAATTCAACTGATTGCAAATCTTGCTTGCCTGGATTTTACTGTGATCAATACAACTCCAGTGTTCCTTGTGGTCTGTGTGATCCAGGGTATTACTGCAGTGGTGGAGCTGTGAACAGTAAGCAGTATTCTTGTCCTGCTGGGTATTATTGTGAAATTGGAAGCACTGCACCTAGACCATGTCCATCTGGAACTTATCAAAATGAACCAAGACAATCACAGTGTAAATCTTGTGAACCAGGTAAATATATTTCTTTCCTTGTGTAAATCAACTTCTTTATTAAAGTTATTTCTTATAAAAATAACAAAATTTGTTACTAAAGAGAAATACTATTTTATATTATTATAGAAACCAAGCCACACAAGCGTGGAACCACGAGCATTAAACTTTAAGAGAATAGAAAAAAAAATACTTTTTCCTCAGCAAAACAAAAAAAAAAATTTTTTGCTAATTAAAAAACACTTTGTTAGTTAACTAAAAATATTTTAATTATTTTGAAAGTTTGAATTCCAAGATATAGAGCCCTACCCATCATTAAATTGACCATTACAGAGATTTGACCTTTGGTTTATCAAAATATTTTAGCTAAACGCTGTAAATTTTTTTGCATAGAATGGATTCTTAAGTAAAAAAAAAAATTATAATATTGTTTATAATAGCATAAAAAATAATAAGTTTGTTTGTTCAAATTTTTTATGTTGTTTTACTTCCCTTCAGTGACCTTTGTTTATCAAGGTTTGATCGTCAAGGTTTGTTTGTCAAGGTTTGTTTGTCAAGGTTTGTTTGTCAATGTTTGTTTGCCAAGGTTTGTTTATCAAGGTTTGATCGTCAAGGTTTGTTTGCCAAGGTTTGTTTGTCAAGGTTTCTTTGTCAAAGTTTCATTGTCAATGTTTGTTTGTCAAGATTTGTTTGCCAAGGTTTGTTTGTCAAGGTTTGATTGTCAAGGTTTGTTAAAAAATAATAGTAAAAAGTAAAATAAATAAAAATGATGAGTCTGATGTTTTAAAATTGTTTTTGTATACTTTTATAAAAGCTTTTAAAAAATTGTTAAAATTAATATTGTTATACTATTACTATTATTGTTATTATGAATTATTATTTTTATTAATTATATATTTTTCAAATGTTTCAGGTTATTATTGTGATAGCAGCAGTTCTCCAGTTATTAATTATACATTATTTTCCTGTCCAAAAGGATTTTACTGTCCTTCAAAAACTTCTTACTCAACCCAATATCCATGTCCTTCAGGAACATTTTTGAACCGAACTAATGGTGCTTCAATTAATGACTGTATACCATGTCTTGGTAGTTATGCTTGTGATATTCCTGGTCTTATTTATCCTGCTACACTTTGCTCAGCTGGTTACTATTGCAAAGAAGGAGCTAATCAGACTACTCCAAATTTAGAAAAAGCGAACGTTTGTCCTCCAGGATGCTTCTGTCCCAAAGGTTGGTACTATTATTAGTGCCAATATAATCATCATCAACAACAACATCATATAATAATAATTATGAATTTTATACAAATTTCATATGAGTTTCACACAAACTTGTTTTCAATACATTGTTATACTAATTTGTTCAAAGCTTTGAAAAGTTTTATTACTCTGTCATAAAAAATACCTTTAAAGCTTTGAACACATTTTAAACATATTGCATCTTGTTATGTAAATAATAGAAATAAAAATAAAGTCAAAGTTGAGTGTGAAAGCATATTTTATGTTGAATCGACTTTACTAAGACTTATAGCAGCTTATAATTATAAATAACAGCCTTCCAAATAATTGAGAAATAATTTTGAAAAGGTTAAATAAATGTGAACTTGTATTTTGAGTGAAAAACTATTGGGGTCCAAATTTTGACTTATTACAGAGATGTAAATTTTGACTTATTACATATGTAAATTTTGACTTATTATAGAGATGTAAATTTTGACTTATTACAGAGATGTAAATTTTGACTTATTATAGAGATGTAAATTTTGACTTATTATAGAGATGTAAATTTTGACTTATTACAGATGTAAATTTTGACTTATTATAGAGATGTAAATTTTGACTTATTATAGAGATGTAAATTTTGACTTATTACAGAGATATAAATTTTGACTTATTATAGAGATGTAAATTTTGACTTATTATAGAGATGTAAATTTTGACTTATTACAGAGATGTAAATTTTGACTTATTATAGAGATGTAAATTTTGACTTATTATAGAGGTACAAATTTTAACTTATTACAGAGATGTAAATTTTGACTTATTATAGAGATGTAAATTTTGACTTATTACAGATGTAAATTTTGACTTATTACAGAGATATAAAATTTTGACTTATTATAGAGATGTAAATATTAATTTATATAAAGAATTACAAATTCCTTAAGATTAGTATTGCATTTAATATTTTATATATCATTTAGGTACTGATGAACCAATAAAATGTCCAGTAGGAACCTATAGAAATAGTATTTTGGGAATGTCTGAAATTGACTGTTTATCATGTATAGGTGGAATGTATTGCAACAGCACTGGTCTTGCTTTTCCAGCTGGTTTTTGTAAAGCTGGTTACTTTTGTCCAAGAAACTCATCAAGTTCTACTCAATACATATGTACAGTTGGACATTATTGTCCTGAAGGAACTGAAGTACCAAGGGAATGCCCTATTGGAACAGCTACAAATTTTACTGGGTTGGTAAGTGATACACAATGTCAAGATTGTGAAGCAGGATTTTATTGTTCATCAACTGGGCTCATACAGCCTACTGGGCCTTGCTCTGCTGGGTATTTTTGTCCACCAAGAAGTAATAACTCTATGTCTATTGTTTGTCCTTCCGCAATGTACTGCCCAGTAGGCAGTAGCAAACCTAAATTTTGTTTAGAAGGATATTATACAAGTTGGGAACAAGCAGATGTGTGTGCTCCATGTATTAGCGGTTATTATTGTGTTGGTGACAATGTTACTCCAGGTATTTGTTTTGAGTACAAGTTGATTCAAAGTTATATTAACTTATATGTTATTTTATTACTTTTAAGTTTTAGTTTAAGAGTAAATAAAGCTAGAGTAATAAAAAAGTTTGATCTTTTGATTTTTTTTTTGTTGTTGAAAGAAAATTTTAATTTAAAAATAAATTAGTAAAAAAAAATTCTATTCAAGATATTATTATTACAATTGCCTTAAATTACTGATGTACTTAACTTGCAAGTATAATATTTTTTATTAACAATTTTTATTTTATATATTTTTATAAGCACCTAGTAGAACCATATCTAGTAACCATAGTAATATTCCTGATGCCAGTTTTAAAAGAACTCTTAAATTAAAAATCAATGTTTCGTGCTTAAAATGATAAATTTTGATGTGATTTTAATGTGCTTACTGGTTGGTGAATGTGATAACTTTGTAATATGTGATTATTTGCAGTACTCACTTAAGAAAAAATGAAAAAGTTTTTATTGATAATGTCAAGATTGATCTTAATATTAACATAATTTTATTATTGATTTAGTATAAATGGATAAAAAACCTTGTTGGTAATTTTAGTTTAATTTAGTAAATTTGTATCTTTCTTAAGGGAATCGTAATTCTGGCATTATAAGATGTCCGCAAGGTTATTTTTGCCCAAATGCAACTGGTAGAAACTGGCAACCTTGCCCAATTGGATCATACAGCAATAAAACAGGTTTAACTCAACCTTCAGAGTGCACTGCTTGTGATGGAGGAATGTATTGTGACAGTTCTAATTTAACAGCACCATCCGGATTTTGTGATGCAGGTTATTACTGTGTTTCTGGCATTTATTCAAGGCGACCAGAGCTAAGTAATCTTACAACTTGCCCAATATCGCCTTCTCTTGTTAGCATTGGTGGAGTTTGCCCAAGTGGTTATTACTGCCCAAAAGGAAGTCATAGATATAACGGTACTCATGTTTTTCATACAGTAAAATTTTTATTCATGCAGTAACATTTGTTTTTATGTAGTAAAATTTATTTATCTATAAATATAAGATTTTTTTTTAATGTAGCATGTTTACCCGGAACTTATAGTCAAGCAGGAGCCGAAAGCTGTTTAAAATGCCCACCTGGGTATTTTTGTTTGGATCATACATCCAATTATACTCAAAATATATGTCCTTCTGGTCATTATTGCCCTCCTGGTACTACAAATCCATTACAGTTTCCATGTCCACCTGGAACATTTAATCAATTTGAAGGTTTGAGCACTAATTCGTCATGCATTTTGTGTCCTGGAGGTTTTTATTGTGAAGGATATGGAAACAAAAATTATACAGGAAAATGTTATGAAGGATTTTACTGTCCAATTGGAGTTGATTCACCTACTCCATTAAATTTTAAATGTCAGCCACGATTTTATTGTCCTAATGGGTCTTCAGAAATGATTAATTGTTCAGGTGGAAGTTATTGTCAGACACCAATGCTTAGCTCACCCACTGGTGAATGTTCTGAAGGATATTATTGCCCTATAAACTCTTTAAATCCAAATGAAAGAATTTGTCCTGCAGGTTATTTTTGTAAAAAGGGTACAGAAATTCCTACACCATGTCCAAAAGGTACATATTCTGCATCTGAAAGAGGAGTAAATAATAATGTCTGTTTAAATTGCACTGCTGGATTTTATTGTAATGGAACTGGAATGTCTATGCCTGGTAAAGAATGTAGCCCTGGATATTATTGTCCTCCTGGTCAATATGAACCAAAACCTTCTGCTTATATCTGTATTGAAGGGCATTTTTGTGGATTAGGTTTCCCTTTGCCACAGAGATGTGAAAATGGAACCTATCAAAATAACAAGGGCTCTTCTTCTTGTATTCAATGTCCAAAAGGCTACTATTGTGATAACACAGTAACTCCTGTAGATAGTTTAAGTGGACGTTTATGTCCTGCAGGTTACTATTGCCCTCCTGGTACTCGCTATGCAAATGAGTTTGGCTGTTTATCAGGAACATGGTCTAATATGACTGGTTTGAATGATTCCTCACAGTGCCAACCTTGCCCAAAACAGTAAGTTTTATGTAAACAATTAGTTGCTTCAGAATTTTGTTTAAATTTTGTATTTGAAAAAATATTGAGTAATATATTATGCTAAATCATGAAACATTAACAATCATACTGTATTAATTATTAGATTCTATTGCCAAAGAAAAGGTTTATCTGCTCCTGAAGGAAAATGTTTTGCTGGATTTTATTGCAATGGTAGTGCTTCTACACCAACACAATATGAATGTCCGACAGGTTATTATTGTGATGAAGGATCTTTCCAACCATTGACTTGCCCTGCAGGATTTTTTATTAAAATAAAAGGAAGCAAATCTATTTCAGATTGTCAACCATGTAGTTCAGGAAAATGGTGTGATCCGAGCAAAGGTGTTGGAGTGGTTGAACAAAATTGTTCAGCAGGATATATATGTGTATCAGGTACAAAATTTGCTGAAATAGTAAATATTTTTTATAATTAAAGCATACTTTTAAAAATAGTATTAAAAAAAATGATAATTATAAAAAAAATAGTACACAATATCTTTTTTACTTTGGTGTTTCGCTTAATTGTCTGTATCTTTTAAAATTATTTGAATTAATAATTTGTAGAATTGCTGTATACTTACATGCCTTGCAAATGTAAAAACTAGGACCATGTTAGTTACTTAACAGTAAGGTTGTTCGACGATTTAACACAGCTAGATAAATAGTCTGAAATACAAATATAAAATTTATATTTATATATATATATATATATATATATATATATATATATATATATATATATATATATATATATATATATATATATATATATATATATATAGTGCACGTTCAAAAAAAAGTTTCTAAAATTTAAAAATAAAAAAATGCGAAGTTTTATTAATTTGAGTTTGGCTAATAAAATAATGCGTGTTGTTTATGCATAAAAATGTTTTTATAAATAAAAAATTTTAACTTCAAATTATTTTCAACTTCAGCCTTAGACTCCAAGTTATGCATTTATGAAGCTTGTTAGCACAGATAGGCTAATAATAATAATAATAATAATATATTATATATAATAATACCTACCTATTCTGTATATGCAAAAAAAAATTTATAATTTCTGAACTGTAATTTAATTTAAATAATTTATCTTTAAAGGTTCTACAACTCCAACACCAAATACTGGTAATTCATCAATAGGTTATCTATGCCCATTAGGTCATTATTGTGTTGAAGGAGCAGTACTTGAACAGCCGTGCTTACCTGGATACTATGCTCCAATTATGAAAATGGAAAAATGTTTACCCTGTCCAACTGGAAGAACATGCCCAAATTTTGGAACTATTAACCCACTTTCTTGCCCAACTGGTCATTACTGTGAACAAGGTATATCTTCAGTAGGTACACCATGCCCAGTAGGAAAATATAACCCTGAAACCAATAAAACTAGTGTGAGTGATTGTTTAGATTGTCCCTCAGGAAAATTTTGCCAATTTCCTGGATTATCTTCTCCATCTGGAAATTGCAATGCTGGATTTTTATGTCGGGTTGGAGCAAAAGATGCTTCACCAAATGATACAGTAAATAAGTTGTGTCCTACAGGTTCTTATTGTGAAAGCGGAACAACTTTATCAAAGCAATGTCCACCAGGAACCTTGAGAAAATTTCCAGGAGGTACATCTATTGAAAGCTGTTACCCATGTGATCCAGGTTATTATTGTGAAACATCTGGTCTATCAAGTCCAACTGGTTTTTGTGATAAAGGTTTTTTTTGTCCTGAAAATGCAAGTATATATTCAAATCAGCCAACACTATATAAATGTCCAAGCGGTTATTATTGTCCTGTAGGAACTTCTGTTCCTAAAGGTTGCCCTCCTGGTACATATCAACCTGCTACTGGCTCTTCGGAATGTTTAAGTTGCCCAGCAGGTAAATATTGTTCTGGAAACACTGTCTTTCCTAACCCTTGCCCACCATATCATTACTGTCCGATAGGAACTATTGCACCAATATCTTGCCCAAATGGAACATTTACCATGGATGATATGATAGGTTTATCCTCAAATATTTCTTGTAATCCTTGTCCATCTGGAAAATTTTGTCAAAATGGAATTCCAGTGGGGAACTGTAGTGGCGGATATATTTGTTTTAATGGTAGTAAGGTACCCAACCCAAATGATGGAATACAAGGAATTATATGTCCAATGGGGTACTATTGTCCACCAGGTACAGAAATAAAGCTTCAATGTCCTAAAGGTTTAGTAATTTATCAAAATGGGAGCTCAAGTATCAATGATTGCCAACAATGCCCTGCAGGTTACATTTGTACTCCAGAAAGCACAGTTCCAACATTATGCAACAGAGGCTACTTTTGTTCTTTTAATCTTACTCGAGCACCATGTCGAGAAGGAACTTACAACAATTTAGAGGGTGCTATTGATGAATCATGGTGTAAAGCTTGCCCTCCAGGCTATTGGTGTAAAGATACTGGTATGAAATATATATAGCACATTCACAGGTTTGTTAGCAAGTCAGAAAATTGCAATTTAACGAGTTTAAGGAAAATTAGGAAATTTTAACGTCATTAAGTAAATTTTATCATCGCTTAAAGGAAATCAAAAAGTTTTATTTTTTCTGTTATATATTGTTATTATTATTATTATTATTTATTATTATTATTATTGTTGTTGTTATTATTGTTACTATTATTATTATTTAATTATTTTTATTATTGTTATTTTTGTTATTATTATTATTACTATCACTAATATCACTGCTATCTAAGAAAAACATTTATTTTATATAAAATGTTTACAGTGGATGGAAAATATTTTTATTATTATTTTCATATATTTTTTAACAAAATGCACAGAGGTTAATGTTTTATCTGTGATCTTTTGATCGTAATATTTATTCATTTTATTTTAAGTTGTAAATCACTGAACAAGTATTTATAAATAATTTTGACAAAAGTTTTATGTTTAAATGAAAATAAAAAATCACTTTAAGTCAGGGAAAATTTTTTAAAATCTTGCTAACAATCCTGAATGCATGCAATGAAAGTATTAGATTCTTTTTATCATGTGATGTTAGTATTAGATTATAATGTGATGTTAGTATGTGATGCTAGTATGTGATGTTGAATCTTTTTCTAGGTACTGCTGACTATTCCCAAAATCCTTGTCCTGTTGGGTTTTATTGTAACAAAGGTGTTCTTTATCCTCAACCATGTCCTCCTGGCACTTATAGTAATGTTACAGGCACTAAAACTGTTGAAGAATGTTCTAAGTGTCCAGCAGGTTATTATTGTCCTGTTAATGGTTCTACTATCACTATACCATGTTCTAATGGTACATACTGCCCAAATGGCAGCATAAGTCCAGTCTGGTGTGAAGCGGGATTTTATTGCCCTGGCGCTCAAGTAAAGATACCATGCCCAAGTGGTTTTTACTGTCCAAATGCTTCAGAAAGTCTAATACCTTGTCCAATGGGTCATTACTGTCTTGGAAATGATAATTGTACATTATCTGAAGCGGGTTCTATAGTTCCCATAATTTGTCCTTTAGGTATGTTTGAAATATTAGTTTTACAATTTTTTTTCTTTTTTACTTTTTGCATAGTGTTCTAGTAAAAAATGCTTCTCATTTTAAATTTTTTTAGTTAAATCTAAATTGAAAGATATTATATCTATATATATAAAAAGATATTATATCTATATATATAAAACTTTTTAAAAGTTTTTAAACACATTTTTGTTTATAGGCTATAAAGAAATAAGTGGTAGTAAAAGATTAACATTTAAAGATACATGTGAATTATGTGAACCAGGGACATATGGGGCAGCATCTGATCGCATCTCATGCACAAAATGCAAAGCTGGAGTTATTTGCATGCAAGGTTACATTTTTTTATTTGCATTTTTTTTAGACAATAGACAAAAAATAAATAAGCAATTAATTTTGTAACATGAAATATAATAGTTTGTGTTTATTGAGAAAGATTTTGTTTATTTACATATGAATATAGTAAAATAAACATGCATAATGCAAAACATTTTCAGGAGCTACAACTGACAACCCTCTTGCAAATAATACAGTATATGGTATTAATTTTACAAACTCCTATCCATGTCCTGCTGGTTACTATTGTTTATCTGGTGACCACTTTCCTCGAGCTTGTCCTAATGGAACTTACAATGACCGTGAATATGGTAGCCAAATATCAAACTGCACATTATGTCCAATAGATCATTATAATCATTTAACATCACAAAAGGCATGTTTTTCTTGTGGTGGTCAAGCTAAGCAACCCTTCCAAGGACAGGATAGTTGTGTCTGCAATGGTATTCATAGAGTATTTATGGTAAATTTTTATTTCCTAGTTTATACTATTTTTTAGTTTCATTATGTTTTTTTTTTATATAAACTCAATTTTTTCTTTAAAAGCCTAGTGACAAAACTTGCTTGTGTGAAAAAGGTTATGAAGTGAGTTCAGGTAGAGAGCAAGATTGTGCACAAAAACTATATGCTATATGCAGTGAAGGACAATGGCGAAACCAGAATGGCTCTTGCATGAACATTGAGCAATGGAACCAATATTGTATAAATAAGGTAAATATAGAAAATGCAAATAAATTAATTGTAAATTATTTACAATTTTGTAATTATCAAAATAAAGACTTTTATTATTATTCATAATTTTTTAAACACAGTATTAAAATAGCTATAAAACCATTACTTTTATTTTGTTATAATAAAGTACTGTACATTATATTACATAAATATATTACATAATTTTTATATTACATAATTTTTAAATAGTTAATGTGTTGTTGTAATGTAATGGGGGAGGGTGTGTGTGTAAATGAGTTTTAAGCATGTTTAAATAGTTAATGTGCTGTTGTAATGTAATGAATGTAATGAAGGGGGGGGGGGGTGAGTGTTTGAATAAGTTTTAAGTATTTTACAAAAAATAACTACTTTTACTTTTTAATTATTATTTTTTTAAATTTTTTATTATAATTATTGTTTTTAAATGTCTTGAATGACTGGCAAAATTCATTGCATAACATGTCAGATGTTCTAGCAGAGCAAGAATGAAGTTGTACAGTTTACATTTTGACTTACAAAATTAAAATGAACCCAACTAGTCTTTAAATCAGCATCCTCAAAAGTTTGAGTTCCCTGATTTAAAAACATTCTGTGTAAAAGGCATGTAGAATGTGCAGAATTATCAGAGATAATTCTGCACATTCCTTTCACCATATTGTCCAAGATTGCCCCTAATGGTTGAATGAATAACATTTCTATAATCTGCTGATGTTGATCTGAGATTTAGAAACAGAATATGTCTTTTCTAAAGATGTCAATGTTGCAAGCAAATTGTTTCTGATCAATACACGCTCATTTACTAAACAAAGAAAAATTTTGCAAAGCAATTATAATTGTTTTTTACATTACATAAATAAATCTACATTGCCAATTCCATAAATAAAACATATTTCAAAATATATATATAAAAACTATACAAAAAAAAAAGAATTTCTTAAGTAGCATTCAATATGTTGAAAGATACATGTTATAAATATGTTTAAATAATATGTTTAATATTACTTTTCAGTACTGATTAACCTCAGATTTCTAAATGCTTAGCATTGTTCAAAGTATTGTTTGTCCAAAAAACAATACCTAAACATTAACTGCATTTTAACAGTAAAAATTTAATCTTGTTGAATAGTGAGAAAAAGGGTAAGGTTGCATATAGTTTTCTTAGTCATTAAAGGTCAAACTTTTCTATGGCATTTATGAGAGAAGTATTCTTATAGCCTGTCTTATTTATTTTTAAATATTCCTCTATTAATCTTTATTTTTATCTTAACAACTGTCAAAAAATACTTTGTCTAATTAATAATTCTGCTTTATTCTAATCTACTTCATTTCTTCCCTCAGGCGTTCACTGCTCGTGTGTGACCATTCAGCGAATTTTATATGCCAAAGTTTTTAAATAATATAGTTTTCTTAGTCATTAAAAGGTCATACTTTTCTATGGCATTTAAGAGAGAAGTATTCTATGGCATTTAAGAGAGTCAAGTATGAAGCATAATCTTTACAAGAAATAGAACTTTTACAGGAACTTTTTTTTGTATATTATTTCTAGAACTTTTTAATCTTATGAATATCGTTTAAAAGTGCTGGACTTGACTCTGGGTACTATTAGGAGGGTACATACTGGTGTACATAATTCTGAATTAGGTTGAACATAAACTATACTCTTATCAAAAGTTGAGAATCTATGGATTTTAAGAGTAACTACACAAATATCTTAGTTTTGATTTTGCTCAACTAAAATATACCAGGTTACAGTTTCAAAAAACATTTCTACATTGAATATATTTTCATGGTTGTTTGATGGATTAGATTAAAAATGTTGTTAATTATAATTAATGATTTATATCAATATTAATATAATTGATGATTTAAGATTTATACAAATTTTATACAATAACTTATTACAATGAAATTATTTTAATATTATTATATAAAATTATATATACTTGATTATAATACTGAAATTATTCAAGATATACTTTATTATGATATTATTATTATGAAATATTAAATATATTATATTATAATTTTAAATCAGATATGTTGTAATACTAAAATTGTTGCATGATAATATTATATATATAAAAATATACAACAATTATAATAAATGATTTCCTATAACTTTTAAGGTATGCATTGGGTCTGACAACTATGTGGGTTTTGACAGTGAATTAGGTCTTTGTTTATGCAAGGTTGATGATCTTGAACAAATTTGCAATCGTGAATGTCGAATTAAACAGAAAAATTTAATCCAGTATATCTGCACAGACCCGATCACAATTAGATTGACTTATCAAAATGGAAGCTATGTCAGTATTTCCAAAATTTATTTTTCATGCATATACATATATATATATATATATATATATATATATATATATATATATATATATATATATATATATATATATATATATATATATATATATATATATATACATATATATATATATATACATATATGTATATATGTACATATATGTATATATATGCATATGTATATATATACGTATATGAATATATATACATATATGTATATATGTACATATATGTATATATAAATACATATATATATATATGTATGTACATATATATGTATATATATGTATATATATATGTGTATATATATATATATATATATATATATATATATATATATATATATATATATATATGTATATATATATATATATGCATATATATATATATATATATATATATATATATATATATATATATGTAAACATATATGTACATATATATATACATATATATACATACATGTATATATACATTTATGTATACATATAGGTATATAAATACATATATATACATATATGTATATATATATATATACATATATGTATATATATACGTATATATATTGATACTTTATATTGATCACTCTCAAATCAAAAAAGAGTCTCAAATCAAATAATCAAAACAACAATATATATATATATATATATATATATATATATATATATATATATATATATATATATATATATATATATATATATATATATATATATATATATATATATATATATATATATATATATATATATATATATAAGTTTTAAGAAATATAAGAAAATATAAGTTTTTAATGTTAATTTTTGAAAAAGATCACCCCCAAGCTGAAAATAATTTTTCCTATCTTTTTAGTGTTATCCTAATGAGTTATAAATAACATAATAGACATACAAAAATCGCTAAAAATGGTCTTGCTTCAGAAAAGAATGAGAAAGTTTGGAAATCAAATTTAGTGAGGTTTGAAGAAGATGTGCTATTGTTAAAAGTATTGGTGAAATGAATAAAATTCCAACAGAACTGCATATCTCTAATCGATTCAAAAGTTTGTCATCAAATGTAAAAAGCAGAAAGGAGATAGTTGCAATTTTAGTTCAGAAACTGAACTACTATTATGGTGAAAGCTGAATATTCCAATTTCACAAGGAAAATCAGCACCAGAGAGAAAAATAGAAAATATATTGAAAAAACTTGACAAAGATTTTTCAATATATTTTCTATTTATATTTTATATTTTCTATTTTTCTAAGTCAAAAATCCAGAACTCAAAATTTTACACAATTGTTTAACATAACTGATGAAAAAGATAAATGGTTGAGTCAGGAAGATAAAGAATTCTACTGTCTGCAAATGTCAACAAATGGAAGAGTTGGACATTGCACCACAATTGAAGATACTGAAGGTATTCATCCAAGTGTTGATAAGAAAGTCAAGACCAAGATTTCGATGAATCAGCTAGTGAAAGAGGTCATTCAGAAACTGAAGAGTAGTGTTCTAGCAGTGATACTGAAGCTGAAGATGTGGAAAGTTTGTCATCATCAAAAACAAAAAACAAATTTGGCTGCAAACTTGGTGAGTTCTGCGAAGATTAGTACTAAAAAAGCACATAAAGTCTGCAAAACTTTATCAAAAATTTCTATTCTTACTCCAACTCAAAGTGGTGTCTACAAAGGTGTCATGAAAAAAGAAGAAAATAAATATATATATATATATATATATATATATATATATATATATATATATATATATATGTATATATATAATATATATATATATATATGAAAATAAATATATATATATATATGTGTATATATATATATATATATATATATATATATAAATATATATATATATATATATATATATATATATATATATATATATATATATATATATATATATATATATATATATATATATATATATATATATATATATATATATATATATATATATATATATATATATATATTAGGGTGCATCAAACATCCCATACTTTCAAAAATTGATCTGTCCCTATTCTTAAAACTTTCTATTGGTTCTCACAAGACACCTCAAGTCTGAAACTTGCAACGAATCCCTAAACAGAAGAAAAAAAAGTTTTTTAAATGTGTGTCATGTTGGGTCTTAAAAGAAGCAAAACTTTATAAAAATTTAAAAAATAGTTATCATTTTTTTGTTTAAAATACCTTGAAAAAAAAGCCATGAAAAATGGCTTTTTTTAATTTTTTAGAATAATAATTCTTATGTAAAATTTTTGTTATTTTTTGAAATTATTATAAAATTTCACTTTTTTCAAGACCCAACATGACATACATTTAAAAAGCTTTTTTTTCTTCTGTTTAGGTCTCATTGCAAAATTTAGACTTATGATGGCCCCCTAAATCTCAGTTAATTTTGATAAAATTTAACTGAGTGTCTTGTGAGAACCATTAGATAGTTTTAAGAATAGGGGCGGATCAATTTTTTAAAGTATGGGGTATTTGATGCACCCTAATATATATATATATATAGAGAGAGAGAGAGAGAGAGAGAGAGATTGTTGTTTTGATTATTTGATAGTAATCAACTCTTTTTTGATTTGAGAGTGATCAATATAAAGTGAAATAATCACAAAATAGATCAAATAATAAACGGTTAGATAAGAAAAAACAACTTTTTTATGGTACTTAATGTTTCATGCTATTTTTGGCAATCATTAGCCATATATTTAAATCAAGAAAAAAACGTTTAAAAATACAATTAAAAAACCATAACAAAATTAAAAAAAAAACAATGGAATGAGTTGCGACGTCAAATAATAATAATAACAACAATAATAATAATAACAATAATAATAATATGGAAAAAACATCTTTTCTCATCACCAGTTTCAAATTGAGAAAGGAGGAACCTGTTTCTATGTCTGCACTTAGAAACAATCTCATTCCTTTTATTCAGTAGATTAGTATTTTTATAATTTAGGATTTCATACTTTTCGGTGAGACATGATTTACAAGATTTATAAATTATTTCTCATTGGATTGGATTGGATGTTGGATTATATGCTTTACTTCGCCTGTGAATTTTCCACTCAATTATAGGAACTAAATTGGCTTCTTTTATTTTCCATACCTGCTTTGAGAGCTCAGTATCATTTTTGTACTTAGGGATGTTAAAAGATTTAACATGTTTAGCGTATCTCAATTTAAAAGAAGTCTCACTTACACCAATGTAGGATTTTTCTTTAGAAGATGAATCAATATTAGTGGTGGTTACAGTTGCTTGATATACAATGTTTCTTGTTAAACATTTATTGAACAATAGGCAGAGATTTTTATTTAAGCAGTTACAATTTTCTTAATTAGATTTTGCATTGTTGCATAAAATGTATTTGTTGTGTGAATTTATAATTGATTTTACACTTGGCATACAACTGTAGCTAACTTTGACTGTGTTCCTGTTAAAGATTATATGCAGTTTGTTATTATTAGAAAAATGTTTTTTAATTAATTTTAAAAAACATTTTCCCATGTTGGTGCTAACATTTTTGCTCAAAGGAGGATTAAACCAAATGTTGTTGTGTGCTCTGTTCCATTTTCGAGTTGATATTGCTTTAGGATTATATGTTAGACTACATTTAAAACCAGACTTTAATAAATCTTCATTATATAGAGAAATAGTATGTTGAAATATTTCTTTGGTAGAAGAATTTGTAGATAATCTAATTTCAACCGAGTGTGGTATTTGTTTTAGTATATTTGACGGGTGATTTGAATTAGCATGGATATAATTTAATGTATCAGGTTTGAAATAAGGTTTAAAAGTGCACTCGCTAAGATTTAGAGTAACGTTGAGGTAGTTAACAATTTTCATGTTGCATTGTATAGAAATCCGTTAGCCAATGTATTTAAATATTTCGACAATATGCTTTTTTATTTTTTCCGTTTGAGGGCTGCTTTTATTACTAAAAACAGCTAAGCCATGGTCACGGTATAAACCAACCTCAAACTTGTTATAAAATTTTTAAATTTCGAAATTTTATAACAAGTTTGTAATATATTCTAAATATTTTTAATTGTAATTTTAAATGGTTTTTTCTTGATTTAAATATATGGCTGATGAGTGGCAAAAACGGCATAAAACTTTAAGTACCGTAAAAAAAAATTTTCTTATCTAACCTTTTATTTATTTTTATATATATATATATATATATATATATATATATATATATATATATATATATATATATATATATATATATATATATATATATATATACATTTAAGTTGTTTATTTTTTAGGTTGAAGCACCATATAGTGACATGCTAGCAGTTCAAAATTTTAGAGATACATTTTCAATTGATAAATGTGAAAAATTAGACAATTCTACTCATCCATTTTATCTTACAAGTGTTGGAGGTTGTATGACTTAATCATTTTTCTTGCTATTATTTACTTTGTTTTATAGTTCCTTAAACAGCTGAGCTTTATAATTAATTTCATCATTTTTCTTGCTATATTTATTTTCTTCTGAGCCAGACAGTTTATATAATTCCTTAAACAAATGAGCTATATAATTAACTTAATAAATCTTCTTTTTAATATAATTTTGTCAATAAACAGCTTTCTAATAATATATAAATTTGACGCAGTTCCTGATACAATACAATTTGATGCATACAATATAAATTTGATGCAAATAAATTTAATATTCCTGATTCAAAATTTAATCATCACAGTCTAAACCAAAGCTTAAAACTTAACAAAGTTTAATTTTAGAAAAAAAGATGTTTTTCAAAAATTAAATTCATTGATAATAATGCATTTTCTTAAATCATTAAAATTTTCGTTTTTGGTGAATATGATGTTAAAAATAAAGTTTTTTATAATTTTTTTATAACCACAAGTATTTATATAGAATTACTTATAAGGGTTTTTTTTTTTTTTTTTAATTTTCTTTGTTTTTTCACCATAGTCATTAAATTTTATTTTATATTAAATTTTGTAGACTTTAATTATACTTTTTTCAAACATAAAATTATTACATATTGAAATATTTTGTTGTACAATATTTATTTTTTATATATTTGTAATAATCATTAATAAGAACTAATGTTTTAGTGACTGGGTTTCTTGGAGTATACAATCCTCCTACTGAAAATATTGCATCGTTGATGTTTTCACAAATAAAAAACTCAACACAAAGTTCCCGTAAAAGGAGAGATTTATCTGAACCATTCACAGGCATTAAAAATCCTACAGTGTGTATCAATTACAACGATGTTATACTTTTCAGTGTTTCAAATAAATATTTTCCTCAATATGATGAAGAGAATTTATTTAATACAAATCCAAACTTTGATTTTGGTGCCTTTAAAGATCTAGCAGAACAGCACACTCTTATGGATACTCCTACAACATTTTTTTCATTCAGATTCCAATCAGAAGGAGTTTATGTTTTCAAGATGAGCTCATCAGGTGATCTAAGAATGGTAAATATTTGTTATAAATTATAAATATTTATTGTAAATTATTTTTCTTTTAAAATTTATCTTTTAATGTTCAAACTTATCTTATGCATATATATTTTTTAATATTATTATATTATCACAGTATGTCAGAGTGATGACTCGTGGTGCACAATGCGCAGAAGATGGCCCTTTTTTTGCCACTACACCTCGTGCTATTATTCAAAATGGAATTGCAATTGATCCAAACATTTTAATAACTCCTGATTGGTTATTGATAGGTGTCATGGTGATCTGTTTCTTTGTGCTTGTTCTTATATTAATTATTGGACTGGTAAGTAGTGTTTTTTACAACTTTCAAAAAAAACTTGCAAGTTTTGTAAACGATTTAATTTTTATATAAATATATTTTTTATTAGAAAGTTGAATATAAGTAAAGCTTTTAATTTAGAAATATAACTTATATATAAATATAGCTTTTTAATTAGAAATTTTTAATGTTATAGTTTATGTTTCGCATTCATGGATGGCGAAAGTTGTTGTATATTAACCCTAAATTCAGGCAGATGTCTTCATTGTTTAACTTTGATGATTATTCTTCTAAAGGCTCTGCTGTTCATCCATTAAAAAAATACCATAGAAAAAAAATGTTACTTGACCAAAAAAATATTCAGGAAAAAGATTCTAAACATGATGAAGGTATTATGTCTGCATTTTAAATTAAAAAACAATATTTTGGTCATTTGTATTTATGCATATTTTTATAAGATATATTTTTTGTAGTAATTTTTTGAATAATTAGTATGCAGTTTTTGCAGTTATGTATTCATATTTCAGGACAAATAGTTGCTATGGAATCTGTTGTAAAAGGTGATGAATTCTGGGACTATGACCAGCAAATAGATATGGAAGCTTTTAGTACTAAAAATTTCTACACAACTTTATCAAATCAAACAAATGAAATAACACTAGCATTAGCAAGACAAAAAGATCAGGTTTTTTATGTTTACTATTTTGCATGTCTTATTATTAGTTGTGTCTCTGACAAGATTTTTTATTTCTATTGAACAGTAAAGTAAGTGAATATTTCTATTACAAACTGAACATAAAATGTATAATTTCTCTTTCATTTTTTTCATGTTAAAGATAATTATTTTTATACCAATGTAAAAAAATAGGTGATTTTTTATTGAATTAGGTGAAACAGCTATACAGCAAGATTAACAGTCAAGCAGAATCTCTTAAAGGATTATGGGTTGCTAAATTAAATTTAAGAGGTCGTTCTGTTCTGGCGTCTCCTGAATCTTTACAAGCTTACGAAGTTAAAAAGAAAGAGGTAAATATGAGATGTTGTTTTTTATGCTTTAATAATTTATTTTGAAAAGCAAATTATGCAATTAATATCTTGGGAATTATATAATTAAAACACACAAATTTAATGATCTTTTTTTTAAATATACGTTTTTAGTATTTGTATATTATTTCTTACCTACCAGCTAGAGGATGAGTTAGAAAGACGTAAAGAGCTTGGGTTTGGTTTTCTCCAAGTGCTGCAAAAGCAGAATGATATCTTTGAAAAAGATGAAAAAGCAAGAGAACAGCATCAAATATCATTTATGTCTACAGTTTATAATATTCAACGCATACTTAAAAATTATACACAATCTAAAGAAAATGATGAAGGGGAAAAAAAAGAAGAGGGGAAAAGCGAATTTGATAGTAATCTGCAACATAAGTAAATTTTTATCTCATCTTTTTTTTTTTTTTTTTTTTTTTTTTTTTTTTTTTTTTTTGTTATTATCAAAGATTTATTTTTTTCTATACCTATTCATCATTACCTTATATCAGATTTATTGCAAGTTTTTCTTTCTTTAGATTTGAAATTGCATAGATATTAAAGAGTTTTCTTTTAATAGGGTTGGTATCCGTGTAAATATGCTGTTAAGCAAGTTAAACAAAGAGCTTGTTGATGAAGCTCAACGAAGAGGAGCATTAGGTATTATATCCCAAAGCATTGGAGGTCTTATGCTTGATCATAATGGTGAAGCTGTTCCTAGAGAGAAAATATTAAAGCCTGATGGTACTATAATCGAAAATAACAATATGGTGACATTTGATTCAAAAACTGGTTTGCTTATGCCTAATCCTCTTGAGGTTTGTATGCTTTTAGGAGATGGTATTACTATTGTTGAAGTTCCAAATGGTTTTTTTGTACACCCTGTTACATGTAGACTTTTACAAATTGAAGGTAGTTTTTTTTGTTTACTTGTTTATAAATTATATTACATCGTATAATAAATTTAGTTTTTGTTAATATAATTTTTTTTACTTTTTATAAACAGATAACATTTCATTAATATATTTGAAAACATTTTCTTGTTTCTTCTTATTTTGTTAATCCAAAATTTTATTTGTGTGACACAGTTACATGTGACATAGTTACATGTGACATAATTACATGTGACATAGTTACATGTGACATAGTTACATGTGACATAGTTACATGTGACATAGTTACATGCGACATAGTTACATGTGAAATAGTTACATGTGACGTATTATATTATATTATACTATTTGATTTAATTAATACATATGGTAGTAGATATCATTATATAACATATTACTATGGTTTTTTTCTTCGTTTATCATTTTGCTTTCATTTTTTATTCATGTTGTTTTTGTTGTTATTGATAAAAAGGTTGTTTGCATTTTTATTTGCATAATATTTTACGTAGATGAACCAATTTTTAAATTGAGAGGGCTACTTGAGAAATACTTGAAAAATAGACTTAATAAGAAAAAAAATTTATCTGCTTTCTTTCCCAATCTTTATAAAGATTTTGTAGAGAAGGCTTTCCTAAAGAGAATCAAATACTACCAGGGTTGTATATTAGTGGTGTGTTGTTTTAAAGTAATATTTCTCTTCATAAGTGCATCATATAAAAAAATAAAACACTCAATAAAAATTTAATTTATGAATAAAATTATTAAATATACATAGATAATTTTTAAAAATACTGATTTTTGTTTTTTTTGGATTTACTTTTGTTCTCTTTGTTTCTATGAAAAATGGTGCAGCAACATCATTCAATTTGTTGTAGCTTCTTCAACTTATTGTAGTTTAACAATAAAGTAGAAATATTCGAGAAAGCTCTGTCGTGCATATTTTAAGGATCTAATTAAAGATCCTTTCTTGCTACCTTTTCAAATGCAAAACTATTGTATTTTAAACTTTGAAGATTTATAGATTATCACTTGTGCAAACCAATCACACCCTTTTTTTTTTTTTTTTTTTTTTTTTTTGATTGCTGATTGTAATATTAAAATAACTAAAAATCAAATAAAAAAATTAAAAGTTATTGTATAATATTTTTAACAACAAAAAATGTATAACTAATAACAGCATTAGCTGATATTGAGAAAAATAATTCACTCTAAGAAGCTAAATACAAATGTTGCATTCTGTATTTAGCGCTGAATTTAATACTTTGTTAAAATAAATTGGTATTTAGCACTTTTTATGTATAAATGTAGACGAAAACTTTAAATATATTATGATATATTACTTGACTTTTAATAAAATGATGCTATTATACCTAAGTTAAAGTATTGTAAAAAAAAAGAGCTTATTTTAAATTTACTTTAAATTTATGTTTGTATATATATATATCGATTTAAAAGTTTGTCATCAAATGTGAAAAGTAGAAAGGAGAGAATTCCAATTGTGGCTAAAGACACTAAATTGCTATGGAGAAAGCTAAATATTCCTATTCAACAAGGGAAATCGGCAGCAGAAAGAAAAATAGAAAATGTATTGAAAAAACTTGACAAAGATAGTCGAAAACCCGGAACTCAACATTTTACTCGATTGTTTGACATAACCAATGAGAAAGGTGAATGGTTGTGTCAGGAAGATAAAGAATTTTATTGTCTTCAAAAGTCAACAAATGGAAGAGCTGGATATTGTACCACAATTAAAGATGTTGAAGGTATTCATCCAAAAAAATTAGTGATGATAAAGAAACAAATGTCCATCAGTCAAGGACAAGATTTTGTTGAATCAGCTAGTGAAGGAGATCCTTCAGAAAGCGAAGAGCAGTGTTCCAGCAGTGATATTGCAGCTGAAGGTCCGTCATCATCATTTAAAAAATAAAAAACAAATTCAGCAGTAAATTTAGTGATTTCTGCAAAGATTAGTACCAAAAAAGCACATAAAGTATGTAAAACTCTCTCAGAAAGTGGTATTTCTATTTATACTCCAACGTAAAGTGGTATCTACAAAGGTGTTATGAAAGAAGGGGAAAAGTTGAAAGTAAATTATATGGAAAACCTAAAAAATGAAAAGTGGTTTTTATAGGGTTGCAAAATTGTCATATCCCTAATATACATATACATATATATATATATATATATATATATATATATATATATATATATATATATATATATATATATATATATATGTATATATATATGTATATATATATATATATATATATATATATATATATATATAGCATATATATAGCTTATATATAGCATTTATATATATATACATATTACTTATTAAAACTTGTATATATTTTATAATTAAACTGATAATAATTTTCATTATTTTATTATTAGGTAATGTTGCTTTTGATCCAGTTTCATCAAAACTTGTTTTTACAACTGACAGTCCAAATGGAGAAGCCTCTAATTCTCATGTACGGTTAATACCTTATATACCATATCCAATCAATCCAATGACTGGGCAACCAACAATTACTAAGTTTCATTCTTTAGAAAAAAAGAGTGAAATGGTTTACTTAGGCCCTATGAATGATTACAAAACCGGTCAAATTGTTCCTATACTGGGTATCACTATTCATCCTACAACTGGTAAGGTTTTGTTAATTTTTGTAATTAGTAAACAATTAATATACAATGCCAGATAATTTTTTTAAACTATTTTTTTATAAGTATACATATAAATGTTTGAACATGCATATCAACAATACTATGAGATGCTATGCATTTTTATCATCACACTTTTTGCTATGTAAGGGATTGTCCATAAAGTATGTATGCTCAATTAGGAAGAGAAGGTCTGCAAATGGCGTTTCTGAGATAAGGGGGCAGTAGGTCAATTATAGATGTATGGAGACATTAAATTAAAAAAATATCATAAAATGTTGGGTAAGTATGTTAAAAGCGTAGGTACTTTTAGGGAGGTAGAGAGTACTCAAAAAGCGTACAGCAAATTGCAGGGGGGGGGGGATTGGCAAAAAAAAAAGCGTACATACTTTATGGACGACCCATAACTATTGTTACAATATGTTTTTATTGTATATGAGATATAAATGGTGAGGAAAAGACTTTTGTAATTGACATATCAAAGGATTTTAATAAAGTCAAATATGTTAGTCTTATCCATAAGCTTTCTTTAAATGGTGTTTCTGAGAACATTTTTATTGAATCATTTTTTTTCTAATGGCAGTATTAATGTTGTCCTTTATGAAAAATACTTTCCTTCATTTCAAGTAACTTCTTAAATACCACAAGGTTCCATTCTTTGTCCTAATAATCTGATAATTTTATCTCTAAAGTTCTGATAATTAAATCTTTAAATCTACTAGCTATATATATATATATATACTATATATATATATATATATATATATATATATAGCTAGTATATATATATATATATATATATACTTAGTATATATATATATACTTAGTATATATATATATATATATATATATATATATAGCTAGTATATATATATATACTTAGTATATATATATATATATAGCTAGTATATATATATATATACTTAGTATATATATATATATATATAGCTAGTATATATATATATACTTAGTATATATATATATATATATATAGCTAGTATATATATATATACTTAGTATATATATATATACTTAGTATATAAATATATACTTAGTATATATATATATATATATATATATATATATATATGTTCATATATATATATATATATATATACTAAGCTATATATGAATATATATATAATATATTCATATATAGCTATATATATATACTAGCTATAGTATATATATATATAGCTAGTATATATATATATATATATATATATATATAGCTAGTATATATATATATATATATATAGCTAGTATATATATATATATATAGCTAGTATATATATATATATATATAGCTAGTATATATATATATATATATATATATATATATATATATATATATAGAGAGCTAGTATATATATACTATAGCTAGTATAATATATATATATATATATATATATATATATATATGTGTATATGTATATATATATATATATATATATATATATATATATATATATATAGAGCTAGTATATATATACTATAGCTAGTATATATATATATATATATATATATATATAGAGCTAGTATATATATACTATAGCTAGTATATATATATATATATATATATATATATATATAATACAGGCTTCGGCAGGAATGACGGGCTATAGCCCGTGTCCGTCTCCGCACCCGTCTAAGTCAGTTTAGACGGGCGAAATAAAGCCCGTCTGAAACATAAGTTTTGTGTAAAAAAAAAAGATGAATATTTTGATGTTTTTTTATTAAGATACTCTTTTAAAACTTCTCTCATGACATAATTTTAATATGGATAGCAAACTCCAACTTATAATTGTTTATATTTAAATATAAAAATTAAACAATTTAATCATTATTGTATAACATGATGTAGAAAATAATATAACTAAATCTTACAGTTTTTTAAACGACGATAACTGTTTGATATAATACCAAACAGTTACCATATTATGTTCAAAATTTAATAACTATTATATTAAATAGGGAAATATACACATGTGATGCACAAGAAGTATCATGTTGTTTTTTTGGTTTTTCAATGTTTATAATAATAACGATAATAAACTAATTATCCATGTATTTCGCTTTTTTCCGATAAACTAGTTTGTCTTACTTTAAAGACATTTAAAGTGATATTTCCGCGTTAACTTCCGCGTTAACTTCACGTTTTTTCTTAAAGAGATGGCAGTTTATTTAATATGCAATTATATAACTCGTTATTGAAAATGAAATATCTCATTAAAAATCAACAAACGTCTAATCAATTTTTGTAGATAATATAAATAGTGTTGCTTTATAGTTATGAAGTTATTCAAGTTATCCAGTCATTCAAGTTTTTCAAGTTATTCAAGTTTTTCAGTAAAGATAGTAATGGCATCATCTGGTAGAAGAGTTACATTAGCAACATTTTTGAGTTGGGGTAAAGATGGAGTATGTGGAAAAGAAACTGAGGTGGAGAATGGAACAATTTTTGTTGTGAAGATATGGTGTATGGTTTGTATAAAATATAAAAAAGAATTGCTTCGCGAGTTAAAAGGTCTGGCAAAATCAAAAGCATTAGCATTTATAGAGGGCACTACGAACGTTAAAGCTAGCAACATACATACGCTTATATACATGCTTATATTGTATATAAAGTAACGGAAGCCCCGGTATCTTAAGAAATTATTAGTACTTCTAAATAAAAACTTATTTTATTAAAAGAAATTAGATTTCAAATTTTTTATTCACGTATCAGAATAACTATTTCCGATCAGGATAGGCATAGGTAAAGCAAAGTTATAAAAATATAAATAACAGTTTAAGTTTTTAATTTGCACGCCCAATAGAATTCAAGAGTATATAAATAATTGAATTTGAAAAATAACATAGTTACGTATCATATTACCAAGCTAACACCAAACAATTCTAAAACTATCAAGCTCATTGATTCAAGGTTAAAAAAAAAAAAGATTTCAAACTATTTGCTGAATAATTAAAAAAATTAGATTTTGAAAATATTATGTAATATTTTTATTCACAAAGAATAAGAGAAACGAATGAACTAAAAAAGCACGATAAAAACCTGTATAATTTAATCGAATACTTAAATAAAACAATAATATATAAATATACTCAAAAAGACTTCGGTAAAAAAACACGTTAGGATGCTTGAATAAGGAAACGTGATGAAACGCCATGGTTGTTTCGAGGATTTTTCCCGTCGTTTTCACGTTCATTCGTTTGACTATATCTGCCAGATATTATCTGGAATAAAGATTTAAAAAAAAAAACATAAAAAAAGAATAAAGAAATTTAAACAAAAGCAACCATAAAACAACTAACCCACGTGAAACGAAATTATATCTGTGCAAGTGAAAACTTTGAAAAACAATTATTGAAATCTTAGTTTTAAGTATTATCCAACTCATTTACGGCAGTGTTTTAATTACTTAAGTAATTAAGCATTTTAAACAGTTAATCGCTTTCTAACATATTATTTTAGTGCAATTCACAAAATGTTTAATATTCAATGACATTTTCATTCAAAAAGAGAAATTAACAAATTTAAAAAAAAAAAAGTTCAAACTTTAGAATTTTTTTTAAAGTTTAAAAAAGCCCGTGCAAGAAAATCTAGACGGGCGGCCCTCATAGCCCGTCAAGTCTATTTAAGACGGGCTTTTCATAGCCCGTACGGTTTTTATTCCTGCCGAAGCCTGTATATATATATATATATATATATATATATATATATATATATATATATATATGTGTGTATATGTATATATATATATATATATATATATATATATATATATATATATATATATATATATATATATATATATATATATATATATATATATATATATATATATAGTTATGTTGCTAGAAAGGTCCATAATAATGGTTGTTAGACTTGCTCTAGCTACTAAGCTACAATTATTGCTGGTCAAGTAAGCAAGCCTCTTTTTTCACTAAAACTCAGCCTCACTTGACTCATCATTTTGCAAAGTTCCATTTTTTTACCATAACAGTTCATTCAAACTCAAAAATTCAAAAAACTTTTCTGCTTCTAGATTTTTTTTTCAAACATTGGAATTCTTTTTTTTCCTCAAACACTAGAATTAATTTTTATTTCAAACATTGGAAATATTGGCACTTTAAAATTCTCTTTTTTCTTCCTGTTTTTCTGAAATACAATATACAGTTTTCATGCAACTAATTTCTTGCTAACTAAACTTAAATGTAATAGACTAATAGTTATAGACTAGAACACTTGGCATATCTAGATGATACCTGCTCAAATCTAAACCCTCATTCAATGTATGTACTGAATACTGACAGTTCCCCTTTTCAGGGGAATATATGCATACATATATGCATATATATATGCATATATATATATATATATATATATATATATATATGTATGTATATATATATATATATATATATATATATATATATATATATATATATATATATATATATATATATACACATACATTTATGTATGTATATATTATTGTTATTATTATCATTATCATAATTAGGTAAAGCTTTTCCAGTTGGAGGAACTTATCTTGATTTTGTAACAAAGCTCCCCATACCCATAGAACTTGGGTCTTTGTTTGTTGAGCCTGTTTTTTCAAACCCAATTCCAATCATGGGTGTAACCATTGATGCTTTATCTGGGGATGCTATACCAATTGGTGGTGTGACACTTGATGAGCCTTCAATGCCAGTTTTATTATATGACAGTTTTAAAGACAAACTTTCTAAGAAAGATTTAAAAGTAACAAGTGTGCGTCTTTGCGATCAAAATAATTGGGAGGTAGAGCAGTTAAATGGAGGAGAAAGAGCACTTTTAGATGTGAATGAATTGTATTATGAATCAAAAATTGTTGATGTACTTCATGATTTAAATAATGCAGTAACTAGTGCAGATAAATCAAGCGGTCGTCATGAAGAGAGTATTTTAGAAACCCTTTTAAAAGATTTAAAGAAGTCAAGAACAAGAGTTCGCACTTTAATTCTTAGAGATGGACATGATCTGGTAAGACAAACAGAACGAGCTTCAATATTATCAGACACTGGAGGTAGTCCAGGTATGTATGAGTTTGTATCAACTGGTCAGTTGTTACCTATATTAATTGGAACAGAGATGTCTGATCCTTCAGGCTCCGGAATTAATGTACCTATTTTGGGGATAGAAAAAAATAAAGAAAATAGCTCTTGGTTTCCGTTGGGTGGAACTGTTGATGATATTTTAGGAGAGGGCCTAAAACCAATAAGACTTGGTGATCAAGTTGTTGATACAATAACTGGAAAGCAAGCTCATTGTGTTGGAGTAAAGTACAACTATGACACTGGCTTTACTGAGCCTATAACAGCTATTTCTTTAAAAAAAAAGAAAGGAAATGTACCATCTGTTTCAGCACAATTGCTTGAAGAAGAAATTGCTGCTCGAAAAGGTTTTTGGAGAAGACAACGAAAGCGTGAAGAAGAGTTAAAAAACTTAGAGTCAAACATTGTTCATCAATTAACTAAAAACGAGGTCAAAGTATCTATATTATTACGAGAGAAACTGGAAACTATTGTTGAAGGTATTTACTTATTTAGCAACTTACTTTCTATAATTACTTTCTATATACAATTAAGAATGTGTTAGCATTGTCCTTTTAATTTTTTTTTTTTTTTTTTTAATAGTTTTATTAAAAAATTTTATTTTATTAAATTTTTACAAAAGATACAAAAGCTTTAAAAGAAGCAAGTAATCGTGAATTTCAACGAAGAGCTAATTCCACACTTGATCAAGCATCTGCTCTCCCTCCTCAAGTTGTAGCTGTTTTATCGCAGTGTGATTCACTTGAAAGTGATAGGGAAGAGGTTAAAAATCAGTGCCACTCTAAGTTGTCCGAGACAATTGAGCGATTTTTCAGTAAACATGATGCTGAAGAGAAGAAATATAAAACAAGGATGGATGAACTTGAGGTTAGCATGTTTAATAGTTTTTTGTGTTTTATATTTTGTAGAATATTAAAAAATGTGTTAGTTAAAAAACTAGAAAAATTAGGTACACACATGATTAGGTTGGTGTGTTGGTATTCAAATAATTAGGTGTGTTGGTTGTTATACAAATAAATAGCCCAGTTGATCGGTATATAAATGAATAGGTGGGTTAGTTGGTATACAAATGAAAGCAATTGACGTATACAGTTGACGCAAATCAATGAGCAGGTTGTATGAATAGTTGTATAAAAGCATTTTTAAACCCTATATTGTAGAATTTTAGAATTTTGAATCCAGCAACTGAATCTATTGTAGAATACCATTTTGAACACAGAGACTGAATCCAGTTAAACTACTGAATTTGTTGTGGTTGTTTTTGAAAAGAGTTACTACAAATTGAAAATATTGACCTTTTAATTATACAATAGGATTATTATTATTTTATATGCTTTTAATCATGTAATATTTAATTATGCAGGATAACAATAGTTATTTTATATGCTTTTAATCATGTAATATTTAATTATGCAGGATAACAATAGTTGTTTTATATGCTTTTAATCATGTAATATTTAATTATGCAGGATAACAATAGTTATTTTTAACTCCTAACAAAAGTGTTCCAATGATTTATAAACTCATTTGTTTTTTTCTGTTAAACTTTTTTCTTACTTTGTAAAAAACTAAAATAGGGTTCGTTTGTTGTTCTTATTTATTTTTTTTTTATTAAATTTTAAGGTTTTTTAATGATTTTAAGGTTTTAAAGATTTTTTTTTAAGATTTTTAAAAATTTAAAGATTTTTAAAATGTTTAAAAGGGTAAAACTTCTTTTAAGAAACTTAAACCTTTTTTTTTAAAAGAAAAGTAATTTACTTATTTGGCTTTATTTATAATTTATTTATTTACATAATAGCAGAAATGATTTAATCAATATACTTTCATTTGTTTCAAATCTAAAGATTAGCAATCAGAGATTAGGCTTAGATAACTAGGTTCAGCAGGTTGTGATTAGAATGATAAGATTCAGCAGGTTGTGATTAGAATTTTAAGATTTAGAAGGTTGTGATCAAAATGTTAAAATCAAGACCGGTCTTGATTATAAAGATTGTTTTATGAAATGTTGTTTTTAACTATTTTCATAAAAAATATATTTTCTATTTGTTATAGAAATGTCTTTATTTAATATAATTTTTTATGTTATAGAAATGTCTTTATTTAATTTTTTACTTATTTTTTTTTTTTTTAATTTCATTTAATTATATTGCTTTAGCAATATAATTAAATGAAATTTTTATTTTTTGTTTTTTTATTTATATTTTATTTAATTTTTTTTATCTAGTTTTATCATTTATTTCTTTATTATCTACTTTTATTTTATTTGTATATATTTTATTTTATATTTATAATTTTTTTTTTTTGTTTTTCTAAATAGTAAAATTTATTATATTGCATATAAATAATTTATATTAACTATATATTAAGTTTAAAAAATTGTTTATGCATTTATAAATTGCAGTTATATATGCTTAGTAAAGAGACGTATTTATTGCTATATTCAAACAAGTAAATTAAATTACATGACGTAACACACAAACATAATATGCAATGAATTAATAATAAATGTAAAAAATAAATTCTGGCTTTATTTTTATGACTTAATTTATAACCTGAGACTTTTTTTCAGGGAGCCCTTAATCCAGATGCTGAAACATCTGTTACACAGAGGTATAATGCTGCCAAATCTCGATTACAACAAGATTTAGAAGATCAATTGCAAAACCGAGTTGAGGCATTAGATGAGCAGCAAGAATCACTTGAATATATTCGTGAGAAAGCTGAACTTTGTGCTTCTGAAGCAAAGGTGTTTTTTTAGGTTTTATTAAATATTATTTATAAAACAAAGGTTTTAATAACTTAAAGTAAACATATATAATATACTTATTATTATTAAGCATTAAAAATTTTTGATTCTAAGTTTTTGAGAAGTATCATCCATGGTATTTAACAAATGTTATTAGAACTTTTCTATTTTTAGATAATATTAAATACTAGTGCAGTTCAATCAGGTTTTTATGACTCTATCTTATGTGGAGTTTATGGTGAACCAAATATCTCATCAGATGAATCTAGTAATGAATTAATTCCACTTTTGCAAAAACTCATCAAAGTTATAGAAGAAAAAGGTCCGCTTCCTGTTTCTTATGACCATTTATTGATGCAAAGATCTGATCACAAATTGCACACTGATGTTTTGAAACAAGATAATCAGAAAGTTGATTTATTTAAGCTAAAACCACGCTCTGAAATATTTAATAGTATGTTCCTTTTATACATATATTTTCTTTATATATATATATATATATATATATATATATATATATATATATATATATATATATATATATATATATATATATATATATATATATATATATATATGCATGTATGTATAAATATATTTAAACATATATGCATGTGTGTATATAAATATATTTATACACACATGCATATAAGTTTATATACACACACATGCATCTATATATACACAAATATTTATATATATATATACACAAACATATAATATATAATATATATATATATATATATATATATATATATATATATATATATATATATATATATATATATATATATATATATATATATATATATATATATATATATATATATATATATGTTTATATATATACACACACACATATATATATATGCATTATTTTTTAACATTTTTAAATACACTCTAATTTTTTGATTATTGTAGATGTGCCTGGAATTCTTGTTACTGGTGAAGAACCATCTGGATATGAAAATGAAGTTTTTAACATTTACAATGAAGGTAAAAATATTAATGGATCTGGTTATGAGGATTATCTATCTTCAGATAGTGAATTGTTTACAAAAGAAAATGAAAACATAGAAAAGGAGAATAGCTCAGAAGAGAATTCTCAAAACAAAAATGAAATTAGAAAAACTATTTTAGAAAAGAATATTGCTGAATCCATGAATTTAGAAAATGAACTGCGAGAAAATGAAGCTAAAGAAATAGATTTAGTTTTAAATGGTGTTTTTCAGCTTAAAAAAGAAGCATTTTTAGAAGTTCAAAAAGAGTTAAAGGTTTTTTATTACTTTACTGGTTTTACTTAGAAGTTTAACATTTTGGATTAAAATTTTAAGTTTAACATTTTGGATTAAAAAATTTTTATAGATTAATGATTACATAAATTTTTTTATGTTATATATTAATAACATTGTTTACATGGATTTTTAACATTGTTAACATGGAGTTGATAACATATTATTTATATGGACTTATATATATGTATGTATATATATATATATATATATATATATATATATATATATATATATATATATATATATATATATATATATATATATATATATATATATATATATATATATACACACATATCAATTAATAACATTGTTTAGGAAAAGTTGTCAGATGTTACTGATGAAAGTAAGCGAAATGAAATTATTGAGCATTTTGCTGCAAAGTTGAAAAGTATGACTGATGAATTTTCTCAACTTAAGGAACAAAAAATGGCTGTAACAATTAATAATCTTACTCAAGAAAGAATGAAGAAAAAGAATTCTTTATTTCAGTAACAATATATATATATATACAGGGGTGGGACCGCAAAATGTGAACGTTTTTGTTTTATTATAACTATTTTCTCGTTAGATGTAGTTGTACTCTCTCACTCATCAGAAAGTGTCTAAAGAGTTGGTCTAAACGTTGTAAAATGATCTACGAGAATCAAGGAGGTCAAATTGAACATTTAAAATAGTTCATATTTAACAGAAAATTAGTTATTACAATCAGAAAAGTGTTCACATTTTGTGGTCCCACCCCTTTATATTTTTTTTTTTTTTTTTTTTAAATATATTTATTTTACTTTTATGTCATTTAGTGACATTGACTAAATTTAATTTAGAAAACAAGTTGCTGAAGCTGAGGCTAATAATATTGACATAACTTTTAAACCTCCAAATGAAAATGAAACTAGCTTAAATGTAAAGGTTTTTGCTAAAGAACAAGATAAGCTTTTTAACGAAATCAAAAATGCTTATGAAGAAGAAGCTAGTAGACAGAAAAAAGAATTGTCTGAGCAAATGATGAAAGAAATGGAAAAAAATATTCAAAACATGAGTTTGCAACTTTTAAATCCTGATGAAAATGAGTTAATACAATTAAAGCAGGTAACTTGTATTCTAATGAAATCTATAATTTTTAAATTTTAATTTTAATATTGATAACTAACACTACAAACATCCCAAGCAGTAGCAGTAACTAACATTACAACATTATAGCAGTAACTAACATTACAAACATACAAGCAGTAGCAGTTATCATCATCATGATGACATCATGATGATGATAACCATTTACGGCATTTATATCATCATTATCTGGAGTTGCAAACTGACTTATAACCATTTACGGCATTTATATCATCATTATCTGAGTATGCAAACTGACTTATAGTCAAAAAGTATTCATAGTTAATGTAGCATTAATTTTTTTATTATACTATTTTGAAACAAGGATATAGAAAAAGAAACAAAATCTCTGGGTGCATTGAAAGAACAATTACAATTAAACCAAACAGTAGAAACTCCCAGATCAGAAGACAAAAGTATTCAATATCAGATAATTGAAGATAAAGCTAATAATGCACTTGAAGTAGCTGCTATATTAGGAGCAGTTCAAGAGGCTTTCAATGATAGAAACAAAGGAGGTCAACTTAAATTATTGGACAGACTTGCTGGCAAAAATCATTTGAATGAGGTTTATATATTTACTCTTTTGAGTTTTTTTTCAGAAGAAGTAGGAGTTTTCTTTTTTCATTTAAAAGTTCTTAAGTTAAAGTATAAATATTTTTATTTATTTTAAATCTTTTTGAATATTTTTATTTTAATTTTTTTTTAACTAAAATTATTTTTTCAGGATGAAAAACAAGAAATATTGAATCGCTTTTTGAGTGAACAACAAACTCTAAACGAAAAGTATGATGAAATGAAAGAATACAGTACTGCTGCTCTTAATGCAAAGCTTGAAGCAAGAAAGAAAGTGCGAGCGGAAAAAAATAAGGAAGATTCTTTGAAGAAATTGTTTCAGGAAATAACCGAAGCAGCAGTTAGTTTGTTGTTGATTTTATTTCAATAATTTTATTAATGTTTTTTATTTTTTTATTTTTTTACTCTCTTAATGCTTTTACCAAGGATGGAGAAAGCCAGCTTTGTGATACACAGCTGACAACAGAGCAAATAAAAGATCAAGAGAAACTTTTGAGTGAACAAGAAAAAAAACATTCCGATTTATTGATGAAGCAGTACAGAGAAAAAAAAGAAGCTGAACATGAACTAAAAAAGGAACAGTTAATGGTTGTTCAAGATATTAATAATGAGTTTGAAGCAAAAAAAGCAAATGTGAGTAGCTCAAAAAGTTTGATTATAAAAAAAAAAAATTTATTTGTATTGTTTAATTTTTACTTTTTTATTTTTAACATAAATTTAGTTTACCATTTACTTTTTAGGCTCTAGTAGAACAACAGAAGACTTTCAATGCTATTTTAGATTCTAAGAAAAAGAATCTTTCTGAAGAACAAATGAAGGTTCTTTTAGATCAACATAATCATGATAGAGAATCTTTAGAGCAAAGCATGGATTCAGAAAAGAATCGTCAGTTATTGACACTAGCTGATAAAATTGCAGAAAAAAAGAGGAAAAAAATGGAAACTTTGGCTAAACGACATGAAGCTGATTTGCAACAACATGTAGTAAAGGAAAATAAAGAACGAAATGAACTATCTGCAGAACAAGTAAGCTTTGCATTACACAAAATATAAGCAAATATTTCATAAGCATGTTTATAGTTGTCTTTTTTGTTTATAACTGGCTTATTTATAAAAATTTGTATATATTTTAGTATATATATGAATATTTATACCATATATGAATATATGTATACATACATGAATATATATACCATATATATATATATATATATATATATATATATATATATATATATATATATATATATATATGTATGTATATATATATATATATATATATATATATATATATATATATATATATATATATATATATATATATATATATATATATATATATATATATATATATATATATATAAAACTAAATTAAATGTTAAAAAACCATTATAAGAAATAATTGTAAACATAACAAAAGTGATGTCTTTTTATGTCTAAAAATTTTTAATTTAGCAAAAAATGGTAACCAATGGTAAGTCATCATCAAATTACCATTGTTGCAATTTGAAATTATACTCATATTTTTTGATAAAAAGTAATAAACAATAAGAAAAAAAAAATTAAAAATTAATAATGTGAAGAAAATTTAAATATATTGCAAAAAAGTAAAATAGTTTACTTTTGAATTGAAAGTCGGTGAGTTAGCCATTTCATTAAACTGATTTTAATATTTTTATATATGAGGCAGTTCATAAGGCTATTGATTTTATACAATATCCTAAACCAAAAATACCCAAAAAACATCCCTAAACCATAATTCATAGTAAAAACTTCTTAGAACTAAATACAATGACTAAATATAAATATCTATTTAATCATGTTGTTCTCCTAAGTTGCTCTATTTTTAGAATTCAAAATATATATTTATATATATATATATATACATATATATATATATATATATATATATATATATATATATATATATATATATATATATATATATATATATATATATATATATATATATATATATATATAAACACACACGCAAACACACACACACACTCACACACACTACCATTCATAATTATTCAAATGGCATTAACTTTTTATAAAAATGCTATTTTTTATTTAACTATTTAAACTATTTTTTATGTTTAATTTTTTCAATCATTTAATAATTTAAAAGTATTTTATTTAAAATGCCTAAAAAATCATAAAAATAATAAAAATGCTAAAGTGAAAAAACTACATAAAAAATGGAGCATCAATTACTGTAAATGCGGAGCGACGTGTCAAATTTTTTAATTTTAGTTTTTAGATTAGATTGTTTGTCCGGAAAGAAAATTGTTGAATTTATGATAAAATTGTGTGTATTATGTAAAACATGGTTGTGTGTATACTGTAAAACATGGTTGATGTACTGTTAAGGTGTGTGGCTGTTTTGGTTAGAATGCCACAGGTGACTTTGTGAAAATAGAGGGAGTAATGACAAAAATAGTTTACTTATACACTTTAAAATTATGCTACACCTTTGGAAAAATGGGTTAATGAGAAATTATAAATTTTTTCAGAAGAAAATGATTTGAAGTTAAAACATATTTTTTCAAAAACTGGTTCAAGTTATTTGACTGAGTAGGATAAAGTATTAAATAAAATGATTTAGCCTCTCTAATCACAAGATCTCTCTCTTATCGGATTTTTATGGGATGAATTAAAAGTAATGTTAAAAACTAATTCCTAATGATGCATAAAATGTGGACAAAACTTATTAGTTAGTGGCATAAAAATGACTTTGACAAATCGGATAAGTCATTAAGTAGAATGCCAAGAATATGTATAGTGGTAATTGTTGCGTGTATAAATATATATATCAGATATAACAAATAGTATTAATAATTGTATCTACTTTCCTCAATATCTTTAGCTTCGCTCAATTGAGAATACAAACCTTGCAGCGAAGGTTGCTGAAAGTAATCCAGACCATGTTGAAAACCTTATTTTGGCATCTGTAAGACAAAGACACATGCGTGAAAGAATAGAACAAGAAAAGCAGTTTAAAGATGAAATTGAAGCCTCGCAATCTTTATTAAAGGCACAAATTGTTGAAGAAAACCAAAAGCAAAGAGAAGCTTTACTCGCTGAACAAGACAAGGTTAAATTTTTGCTTTTTAGCTAAAAACTTAACAACTTTCTGATTTTTTTATTTTTTAACTTAAATTGACTGAAAGATCCCCACTCGTGATCTTATTCAATATCCATTTCTTCAAATGTAAATCGTTCACAAACAAGGGTTTTTCACATTTTGAACTGTTGAACTGATCATATTCAACATAAGTAAAAATCTAATTTAACATTTTTCATGTCGTTTATAAAATTGAATTTTGCATGATCAGCTTAATTGATTGTTTTGATCATTGTTAATTCGAGTCATATAACTAAAACCTCAATAATAGCATAGGTGTAATTTATGACTATTTTTAGTGTATTTTGAGTCTATTATTTCAAAAATAAAATTTACTCAAAATAGTCATAAACTACACCCATAATAAACCACAACCAATAAACACTTTTTCACATTACCACAACTAATAAAAATACTTTTTGATATTGTACTATGATCCTTGATTATTCACACCCACAACTATCTAGCTATCAAGTTTCTATCTATTCTATTGATAGTATGGGTATGACCTATGACCATTTATAAATACATGACGTTCAAGATATTTTATATTATTCTTTATTTTTTTAATATTTTACACTGTTATTATGACCATTTATAAATACATGACGTTCAAGATATTTTATATTATTCTTTATTTTTTTAATAATATTACACTGTTATTATAGGAGTTTATGAATATGGTAAATGCATCAGGTAACTTAGATAGCGATAGCTTGAGACAGAAAAAGATTATGCTGGAATCAAGACACAAAAAGCAACTTGAAGAGTTTGATAAAAGTAAAGTTGACTTGCTGTCTTCAGCTCTTTTAGAAATAAGCCCTTCACTACAGGTTGCACATGCGCATGCTCGTTTGGAACTTCGAGAGCGACAGCTGAATGAGCTATCTAATTCTATGAAAGATTTCATGACTAAAGAGGAACTTTCAAAACAGTATTCTGAACAAGCAGAAAAGGCTTCTCAGGCTGTGGAAGAGTTTAAAAAGAAAACTGTGTTTGAAATGGCAAAAAAGATTGAAGATATTAAAAAGTCTCGTCGGGATAAAGGAGAGGAGCAGAGAAAAGCAATGGAGGAAGAAGTAAGAAAATTAGAAGAACAGCTAGAGAAAGAAAGAGAAGCAGATGCTTTAAAAGAAGCTGAAAAACAAGCTGAAATTGAACGCATGCGTAAAAAAAAGGAAAAAGAAAAAGAAGAATTAGAAAAGGTAATTGAATATAATTTCATTTTAACAATGAGTAAATGATGATATGTATGGTGTAGACAATGATCTGTATGGTGTAGATATTGTGTATCTCCTATTGGAGATACACATACATATTCCAACACTACCCATGCTTTTTAATTTTGACTGTATGTATATTTTTTTATGTAGTTGGCAATCCTTCAAAAGGAAGTTGGAGATGTTGAGAAAGACCGACTTTTAAAAGAGCATGAAGAAAATGTGGTCAAGTTTCAAAACAAAATGAAAGATGATCAAGATCGAAATAAAGAAATGTTAAGAAAAAAACTTGAAGAACGAAGAAATAAGAAAGGTAATGTGGGAGGAGAAAAATACAGAGAAGGTGCTGTGCAAAATTATCAGGAAGATATAGGAAAAAAAGTTGTTTTGCAACAAGAGAAAGCAAATACACTGACATCAGCACCACCATCTGTTTTGGAAAAACCTTTTGCAACTCTTGGTTTGTTTCCTCTTTTTTTTTTCTTAATTAAAATAAAGTAATTTATAAGTATGTTGTTTGAAACTAAATAAACCTTTATTTTAGATTCAAAACAAGCTCAAAACTCTTTAAACAGTAAACCAGCTTTAAATAAAAAAGAATGGATTGCGATGCTTTCAGAATCACCATTGTTTCAAGCTGTTAATGATATAGAGACTTTAATTGATCAAGGTATAGGGATTCAAAGAGTTCTTGGAGCAAGAGGAAGGCCATATATTGACATAAAGGTGAAACTTGTGCAAATATTATTTTAATAGTTTGATATGTGATACGTTTGTACAAACATTTTTTAATAATTTTTATGTTAAAATAAAAAAATTTAATAATTTTTTTGTTAAAATAAAAACTTTTTTATGTTTAAAATGTTATGTAAAAATATGAATAATTAAAATTTAAATTTAAACTTTTTAGTACACATTTTTTTGTATAAGTTTTTAAGTCTACAATTATAAAAAATTTTTAATAGGATGCTCAATGGTCTTGCCAAGGTGAATTAGTACCTGTTGACATAAATGAGTTATCTCCTCTACAATTTGTAGTTTATCGGTTTGGAGTGTTTGCTTGTCAATTACTGCAAGAAGCCATGCAAGCTCCAGAAGTAACTCTTCTTATTGCATCAAGTCTTCCAGTAAACAACTATGCAAAAAATGCTTTTCGCAATTCTTTTTTTTATGAACGTGCACGAAAAATACTGTTTATACGTCAGGAGAGAATGGAAAGTGTTGGAGATTTTATAGTGCTCATCATGCATTGTTTGGCACACATTAAAGTCGATGATCTTGTTGACGACGAGAATGTGCTGTTCCTAAGGGAGTTTTACAAAGTAATTACACTTAATTACACTTGCAGTGTCTATTATTATTTTCTTTTTACATATACTATGTCCTTTTTTAATTTATAAAACATATGCATATTTCTTTAATTATAGGCATTACGCATTTGCTGCCAAGACATGTTTTTTTCTCGTGCTAATTCTGCCTCACCAGTAAACTTTTTGTTAGGCAGTTCTTCAGAAAAGACAGTTGGTACGCCTTTGGAGCAAACATTTTTGCGTCTTAAAAAACCTGCTCAAAAGTTAAATCTTGTAAAAGAATTAATCAATGTGAAAGTCAATGATCCAGTGAGACAAGATTTTTCCAGTGAAGTATGTGTTTTTTTGTTTTGTGTGTGTGTGTGTAATCTTGTTTGCAAGTAATTATTGATTATAAAAGATTTTTTCAACTTTGTACAGAAACATTTTTCGAATTATTCTTTTTTCTTCATCTTCTTGAAAAAAAAAATTTTATTTACAGTTAACTTGAACTCAAAATTTAAGTTAAAAAGTTATTTGTTAAAAATCAAAAATATTCTAATGACGTAGTTACAGCTCATACGCAACAAGTTTTTTATTAATATTTTTTATTTATTTATTTATTGAATTATAACACAGTATAAACGAAATCAAACTTCACACATAACATTATAAATATTATAAAGATTGTTTGCTAAATTTAAATAATCACACTTCTTATTCATCTTTATAAAATTCATATCCTTATAAATAAAGCGAAGTGTTTTTAACTTACTTTTTTTTTTCTTTTTTTTTTTTGCATTTAGCAAGATTTTTATCATTTTCCACTTAGATTTCATTTAATACATTTCTAGTACTTTTCAAATACTTTTCAACTTCCCTTAACCATCCCATGCCTATCAACTTATCTAAAGTTCATTTAGCACTCATCTTGTATACATATGGTACTCATCTTGTATCTCTCTTGTAGTCATTTAGCACTAGTCTACTAGAACTCGAACTACTATAACTACTATAACTACTACGACCATCACTACTACTACTACTACTACTTCTACTACTACTACTACTAGTACTGCTACTACTACATTATTATTACTACCACTATTACTACTACTATCACTATTACTACTACTACTACTACTACTACTACTACTACTACTACTACTACTACTACTAGTACTGCTACTACTACATTATTATTACTACCACTATTACTACTACTATCACTATTACTACTACTACTACTACTACTACTACTACTACTACTACTACATTATTATTACTACCACTATTACTACTACTATCACTATTACTACTACTACTACTACTACTACTACTACTACTACTACTACTACTACTACTAGTACTGCTACTAGTACTGCTACTACTAATCTTCTGGAAGTCATTTACTATTTTTTTGAGTAATTTTATTCACTTTTATTTTTAATTACTATTAGTAGTTGTATAGTGTTACTAACATTGTTACTATTAATAGTTCTTAATTATTAGTAATTAAAACATTTAGTTAAACTACGTAATTATTTCTTAATAATACCATTTAAATATAATTAGCTTATATTAAACTTGATAAAATATTTTTAAGTCATATTGTACTACTTATATACTTATAACTTATATGTTTATATATGCTATATTGATAAACTTTAAGTTTTTTTATCAAAAAAAAAAATCGAAAATCCTTACATCATAAGCATGATAATTCGTACGGTTAATTTTTTAATAGTCCTAGCAGCATACGTTTTCTTAATAACCCAGACAGCATAAGTTTTCTTGATAATTCTAACAACATAAGTTTTTTTGTAAACTTGATAAGAAGACGTTTTTTGTTTATCTAAACAGCATAATTTTTTTCAATAGTATAAATATACATAATAAATGTACAATAAGTATTAAAGTTTTATAAAAAGTATTGTAGACACGAGATTGGATAAAAAGTATTGTAGACACGAGATTGGATAAAAAGTATTGTAGACACGAGATTGGATGAAAAGTATTGTAGACACGAGATTGGATAAAAAGTATTGTAGACACGAGATTGGATAAAAAGTATTGTAGACACGAGATTGGATAAAAAGTATTGTAGACACCCAGTGGGCATTTCGACGTCGAACGAACGTCGAGCGACGTCGGATCTCGACGTCGGATCGACGTTGGGTTTACGTTGGAAATGGAAATGTTATTTGACGTCGGATAAACTGACATCGCGCGACGTCGGCATTCCGATGTAAATCCAACGTGTTTTTTGAAAACTAAAAAACGTTGCCTCAGGCAGGAATCGAACCTCGGTCTAATACAAACTATATGCTACGCCCTTACCACTACACCACAGGGACATATTATATAATACGTTTATTTAGTAATTTATACTTGTAGCTATTTGGGAATTATTTCTTAGATAAGAAATAATTTTGTTTAAATATTATATAAATATTAAAACGAATAGTTATATATTATAAAAAATGTATACTCGAAAATGTTAATAGTTAAAAAACTATGCTAGTGCATCATACAAAACCTCATGATGTTTTATCAACCATTATTCAAACTTCTTTCCATTAATAAAAAACACGCTTAGTTCACATATTTATTGAAGAGCGCAATTGCACACATATTGTTGGGTTTGGATTAAATTTTCATCAGCGATGTCTTACGACGTTGTTCCGACGTCGTTTTAAGGACGTTGGATTGACGTCGGAAGACGTCAAAAGACATCGGAGTACGTTAATATTATGACGTTGCCCGACGTCTTTTTATCGACGTTGGATCGATGTCAGTACTGCGACGTTTTTTGGACGTCTTTTACAAGATGTCGGAACAACGTCAAAATACATCGAAACGACGTCAGGGGATGTTGAGATAAAGACATCGCCCGACGTCATTTTACTGACATCGGAACAACGTCGGAATAGGTCTTTTGACATCGCTGATAAAAATCGTACGTAAATCCGACGTCGGATTGACGTCGGGTGCCCACTGGGCACGAGATTGGATAAAAAGTATTGTAGACACGAGATTGGATGAAAAGTATTGTAGACACGAGATTGGATAAAAAGTATTGTAGACACGAAATTGGATAAAAAGTATTGTAGACACGAGATTGGATAAAAAGTATTGTAGACACGAGATTGGATAAAAAGTATTGTAGACACGAGATTGGATAAAAAGTATTGTAGACACGAGATTGGATAAAAAGTATTGTAGACACGAGATTGGATGAAAAGTATTGTAGACACGAGATTAGATAAAAAGTATTGTAGACACGAGATTGGATAAAAAGTATTGTAGACACGAGATTAGATAATAATCTGGTTCGATTACCTTTAGATAAACTTTTATAGTTTATTTATTAACTTAGACACAAATAAATTTTGATTTGCAGAGTCAGTGAAAATTGAATATATACCAGTTTCTTTTACTTACAAAAAAAATTTTGCTGCGCGGCGAAAGAGAAGTTTAAATCATGTATGAAAAATGTGCCTAAGGGTTAAAAAATAAGTTCAATATGTATACAGTATATGTCTGTGGTCATACTTCTTTTTTTTTTTTCAATTCAATAAATGTGTTTTCCTACTCTATGAGTTTAAAACTTTATTTATCACAATTTTTGTAATGTCAGTGTTTCATAGTTTATAAAACAAATCAACTTGATATTTTTAATATTCTAAACAGGGGTTAACCGATCGATTATCTAAACAAAACACCTTTATCGACAATACAAAATTGCGCATGTATTTACGATCTGTCGGTGCAGTCGATTGTACCGAGCAAAAAGAAATTTACGTTCAAAAGCGATTAAATGAGCTTACTGGAAAAGAAGAGATAAAAACAATTAACAAACCGTAAGTATATAAAACTTATAAAACTAATTGCAAAAAATCGTGCAAGTCTAATTTTTTGTTTAATTACTTTTATGTACAACAGAAGAAGAAGAAGCAGCGTTGTGGTAATTTCTCCAGAGCTTTTACTAGACGCCCAACTTAATGATCTTTATTCAAAAATTGACCAGCTCAATGTAGAAATAGCTTCTGTTATAAAGTCATCTTCAAATATTAAAAAAAATATGCACTACCTTCAAGATAGTGGTGCTTCTCAGGAAATAATTGGACGTCGAAGAAAGCAGTTGGAGGAACAAGATTTGAGAATCCAAAACCTTTTAAAAAAGCTTAAAATATTGGAAACCGAAGCTTCTAGAAAAGAAAAAGAGTTGCACCGTTGATTTTTTACTATTTTATTTTATATATATATATATATATATATATATATATATATATATATATATATATATATATATATATATATATATATATATATATATATATATATATATATATATGCTTGTGTATATAAATTTATATGTTTGTGTATATATATATATGTTTATGTGTGTATATATATATATATATGATATAAATAAATATATGTAAATATATTTGTATATATGTGCGTGTATATGTGTGTGTGTGTATATATATATATATATATATATATATATATATATATATATATATATATATATATATATATATATATATATATATATATGTGTGTGTGTATATATATATATATATATATGTGTGTGTGTATATATATATATATATATATATATATATATATATATATATATATATATATATATATATATATATATATATATATATATATATATATATATATATATATATATATATATATATATGCTTCAGAGTTATTTTTTATTTTTTGTATTTATTATATTAAGTAAAATATTAAAAATTGTACGCTGTGTTTTAATTTTTCTTATAAAAGAACTACATTTTTTCATATTACAAAATATATTATTAAATTCTTTCGTAGTACCGTTAAACCGCCTAAGTTCGGTCACCATGTAACTTCAGTCATTACAAAAAAATATTTAAAAAAGCATGTAAAACTCAAATTTTACAACCTTTCTTTTCTCAAATAATATTTGCAATTAGTTCGTAAATATGAATCTATAAAAAAATAATAATATTTATATGTAACCTCCTGAAATAATTCTTTAGCAAAATAACAGTTCGAAAAAATGCATACTATTAAAATCTAAAATAAGCAAACTATTAAAATAAATGATCATATTTAATCTTAGCATTAGAATCACCAAATTAATTATATTTACAAAAAAAAATTATTAATTTTTAAAAATTTACTTTTTTAAATAAAAATAGTGAAATTAGAAATACTATAACTTCGGTCATTCATGGAAAAACAACGAAGGAAACAATTAGCAAGAATGTTGTAAAATGTTAGTATGTTAAAAATGTGACTTAATGTATATGAACTTATGTTGCAATTGCGTAAATTTACTGGTAACTTTATCTGTAAATTTGCCAGTAAGTTTTGATATTTTTATAATTGATACTCACCATGGTATTTTATTTGAATAAAGAATTTGTTTATAATTTTAAAATTACCCTGTTTTAACTTACTGGTCAATTTGCAGGTAAATTTTAATTTCAAAAAATACTTGTAAATTTAAATCACTGATAATGAAGTAATTACGAAACAATAATATATATTGCAACGCATTGAAATAGTTTTTTGTCAAGTTAACACATCTATGTCATCTATAAATTTACGTGGAAATCTCGGATGGCTCGTGGTTTGAAGGCTTGTGGATAAAGGTATGAGTAAAAGGAAAGCAGCTGTAACATTTGGCTTTAAAAGATCAACTTTCATCGACAGAAGTATCGGTAAATATGCTTAAAAAAATGGCAAACCAACTAAGTTAAGCGAAAACATCGAGGGTATTTTAGTAAAAATTTTAATATTTATGAGTGATTTTGATTTTAGTTTGACTAGACTTGAAATACTGTGTGTTGTTAACGACTATTTGGTTAATTCAAATCAAATGTTTTTGTTTTTTTCTTTTTTTTTTTGCCGCTTGCTTTATTCGTGAACAGACGTGTTTTTACAGCATAAGAATTTTCTTTAAAAAATAAAAATAATATTAATAAAAGTTTATTAATTTTAGTTTTTAGTATTTAATTATCTTTATAACCGGAATTATTCTTCAAATTTATCAAACTATCTTCAAAAATTTTGGAACAATCATTTTTTGAAAAAAATGGAAGTTACAATGAAAAATATTGAACGACTTATAACAACAAAACTCGAAGAACAGAAAAAATATATTCTAAAAGAAACTGACAAACTTCTAAAAAACCAAGAAACAACATTTACAAATATTATAAGCTCAAATCTGAAAATGATCACGGATAGACTTGATAAACTCGAAAGCGAAATTAACACCAACAAATCAAAGACTTCAACCTTAGAAAAAAACTTAAGAGATATCAAAGAAACCTTTAACTTCCAAGAGGAAAACTTCACAAACAAACTAGCACAAATGAGCCAAAAGTGTAATGATGAAATTAGTATATTAAAAAAGAAGACTATAGATTTGGAAAACAGATCACGTCGTAACAATCTAAGAATTGACGGAGTATCCGAATCTAACTCTGAAACATGGAATGACTGCGTTAGCGTAGTAAAAAATATCTTTAAAAACCAATTGGGAATTGCAGAGGACATAGTAGTTGAGAGAGTAGGACAAGTAAAAGAAGACAAGCCGCGAACGATAATTCTCAAACTTTTAAATTTTCATGAAAAAAGCAAAATATTATCTTTAGCAAAAAAACTTAAGGGCAGTGGAGTATTCATAAATGAAGATTACGCAAATGAAACCTTAGAAAAACGAAAAAAGCTTTGGGAAGAAATAAAAAGACACCGAAAAGAAGGTAAATTTGAAAAAAGTAAAAAAAAGAAGGCAATTATCAAATATGATAAAATTTTTGTACGAGAGTTTCGGAAATAAGTTAAATGCTTAACCTCAAATTTATAAAAATAAACTCTTAATCATGCGCAATGGCTTACAAAACAATTGACTTTGAAACCAAACAATTAAATTTTTTTGAAACTGATAACAACATTTTACTTAACGACTTTTATGACGCAGATAAGCAGGTTTTTAAAGAATTAGATTTTAATTTGCAATACTATGACACTGAAACTTTTAAAACGCTATTAAAAACATATATAAAAAACTTTACGGTGATACACATCAATATTAGAAGTTTAAGTTTAAATATAGACAAACTAAAACACTTTCTTTTAGAATCCAATTTTTTATTTAACATGATTTGTCTCACAGAATCATGGTGTGATGATGAGTCAGCTCAAAAAAATTCAAATTTTCAGATTCCTAATTATAAAATAATCTCATCTGAGAGAAAAACGCTCAAAAGGAGAGGCGGAATTTTAGTTTACATTCGTAATGACCACGATATCAAAATTAGAAAAGACCTCTCGATCTCTAATTCAGACAGTGAGGTCCTAACAATTGAGATAATAATTAAAAATTCAAAAAACGTTGTAGCTTCTACTTGTTATAGACCACCCGACGGCGATGTTATTCAGTTTTCAAATTGTATGCAACAAATTTTAATCAAAAGCAATAATGAACAAAAAAGAGTATTCTGCATCGGTGACATCAACATAGATAGTTTAAAGTATAAAGAACACCCTAATACTAAAATCTTTTTTGTTTCAACACGGCATAATCCCACAATATGTTTCAACACGGCATAATCCCAACCATTAGCAAACCAACTCGTGTTACAACAACTTCCATTAGTGCTATAGATAATATTCTAACTAACTCTTTTCTAGATAAGTCTATTAAAACAGGAATAATTAAAACTGATATTTCGGGTCATTTTCCTATTTTCTTTTCTTTTGCTGAACATTCAACCATAAATGATAATTCTAAAATCAAAGTCTTGAAACGAAAAATGAATGAACATTCTATGCTTAAATTTAAAGAATCTTTATCAACTATAAATTGGATAAATGTATACCAAAAATGTAACCTTGGACACACAAATTCCGCTTATAATCTATTTCTCGACATCTTTCTTGAATATTATAACAAACATTTTCCAATACAAGAAATAGAAGTCAAAACAAAATATTTAAAATGTCCTTGGATTACACGCGGAATAAAAAAGTCTTCAAAAAAAAAGCAAAAATTATACATCAAATATTTAAAAAACAGAAGCGAAGCTAATCTTAATTCCTATAAAAAATATAAAAATCTGTTTGAAAAAATAAAAAATAAATCTAAAAAAAGATATTACTCTCAACAATTAAAAATTAATAATGGTAACATAAAGAAAACGTGGGAAGTTATGAAAGAAATCATCGGTAAAAAAAAATTTTACACTCCAGAATAACGGAAAACGATATTGAATACAAAAACAAAAAAGATATATATAAGATATATCAGAAATATTTAATCATTTTTTTGTAAACACTGGTCTAAACCTGGCATCAAAAATAAAAGGCTCAGAAACATCGTTTCAAAATTATTTTAGCGATTTTGAAAGCTCATTGCCAGATAGTAATTTAACTTTTGATGAACTAGAAACAGCAATCAAATCAATTAAAAGAATAAGGCCCCAGGTATTGATGACATCTCTGGCAATGTTGTGCTTTATATTTTTTCTGTAATAAGAAAGCCTATTTTTAATATCTTCAGCTCTTCAATCAAAAACGGAATTGTCCCAGACAAATTAAAAATAGCAAAAATTGTACCTATATTTAAAGGTGGAGATACATCTGCAATTAGCAATTATAGACCAATCTCAATTCTTCCTATATTTTCTAAACTCCTTGAAAGAATAATTTACAACAGACTGTATAAATATTTAATAGAACACAAAATCTTAAGTGAAAATCAATACGGGTTTCAAACGCAACATTCAACAGAACATGCTATCCTAGATCTCATTAATAACATTACAACTTCCTTTAATGATAGAAAATTTGTATTAGGAGTCTTTATTGATCTTACAAAGGCGTTTGACAGAGTAGACCACACAATACTACTAAGAAAAATGGAAAAATATGGCGTAAAAAATCAAACTATAAAATGGTTTGCCAACTACCTAGACAACAGACAACAATGTGTTACCATAGATCACTATAACAACTCGAAACAACTAAAAATCAAATGTGGGGTTCCTCAAGGATCTATTCTAGCTCCTCTTCTATTTTTGATTTTATGTCAACGACCTCCCTAAAGTCTCATCTAAGTTAGATTGCATAATTTTTGCAGACGACACTAATCTGTTTTATTCTTCTAGCTCGATCAATGACCTCTTTATAACCGCAAGGTTATAAAGAGGTCATTGATCGACTTATTAAACTTAACACATGGTTCAGAGCTAACAAATTGT